CACGTTTGAACCTAGGGATTCTGCCTTCTTGTACCTCTCTGGGTGGGCTGCCTTTGGGCCATGCCAGTACCTCAAACGCCTTCTCTGTGCTGACTATATATTCTGTCCAAGTATTGTGTCTTCTTTTGTCTTCAGGGAGGTTTTGGGACGCTACATTGGTGGCAGCGGAAAGCGAACCCAATCCTAAAGGATATGTATCCTGATTTTCCACTTCTGCGTGATAAGCCTTAGTAAAGCGGAAGAAGTACATATACTGCGGATGGGAGAATGGTGAGGACCCCATATAGAGGGGTTGATGTTGACGTCCGCCTTCAGCATCTCTCTCAGTCCCATGTTCTGCAGAAAAGCTATTAACAACTGAAGCGACACTAGCCGTGAACCATCTGGAAGTTTCGTTACGGATTTCCCCTACCGTCCTGAATCAAATCCCTAAACCGAACGAAACTGCAGATCCAGTCAAGCAGCCAAGAGGGATCAGCGACGTTGAGGTCAAGTATCCCCTCAGTTGCGCGCTAATTTGGTGACTGGTACGGTCGGCTCGTGGGTGTTCCTTCACAGCACCGACTACGCTGTAATGGCTGACGCGGGAGGTTGACCTGCGGGAGCGCCGGGAACGACGCTGAAAAGAGGGGGAGGCTATGTAAGACGGTGGTGGTTTATCCCTTGGTATTGGTGAGGCGCTACTTTTAAACTTTCGGATTTGCCTTCTTGTACCTCGCTGGGTGGGCAGCCCTTCGGGCCATGCCAGTACCCCAAACACCTTCTCTATGCTGAATATATATTCTGCCCGAGTATTGTTCTCTTTCACCTAAATGAATTTTACTGCTTCCTTGTTTTGGTTATAGGACAAGATCAGAATCCCGTTCACTCGTTTTGATGAACGGCTCCATACATGGTCACTTTAAATCATCTTTATTGTTGGATCTGTTGTCGTTTTTGATAACACCGGGATTTTGGTTGGAAAGGTATCGTTCCTTCAAAAAAGTCAAGTTTCGGTAAATTATTAAGCTCTGCTTGGAACAATGACGTCTTGCACCCTTAATTTGACAAGAATGTGTCTCAAATGGAGCATTATTTGATAAGCATGGAGGTATCATCAAGCAAAACTAAATGCGAATCTCGCGTTTGATATTACTTCACGCATTAGTCAGGCAAGAATGGTTTGCAACTCATCAGCTGCTGTGTCTTTCGTGTCGCAGTATTCTCAGTGTGGTCGATTTGGGGTGGTAGCGTGTTTCTACTCCATATCCTCAGGTCTTTTTATGATTTGTTTGTTTTTTTCCATGACTTGTAGGAAATGTATGGAGTAGGCAACTTCGCCACAGCACAATCCGTGGGTGATGTTGGCAGGTCAGACGAATGGAAAGAGAGTCGTGGCTTCTTTTTCTTGAAGACATCTCACGGGTGTTGAGGTTTGGGGCGCCGAAAGCGGTTGTGTGGAACTGCAGATCGCCTTCTTGCCTCCCCGCCTCACATCACTTCCATTCATGCCCCATCCCAACACACAGGCACTTGCTAAATGACGCCTGGTGTCTCCCTCCGGGTCTCTCCGTCTACCTGTAGTCAGCTCTTAACTGACAGTTACTCACAGTGCCGCTTTGCCATTTCCCCCTCCGTGTTTCTACATCCATCCATGCATACATCAATACATATGCCGGCCGAGTATAATGTCTCCTTCCGTCTGCAGAGCGGCCCCGCGGGGCTGCATTAGTGACAGTAGAAAGCGAGGGCGATCCTTTTAAGGGGGTGCACGTGTGATCGCCTGGCCGAGGTAGCGCTACAAAAGCCACGTCAACGCCGGATACATTGTGAACTACAGCACCGGGGGTGAAGGTAAAACATCTGACATGAGTGACATTTACTGACATAGGCACTTCCCAACCCAATAACGCAATGCGGAGGCGGACTTTGAAAACAAAAGCAGAGCGCTTTAATGCCAGCAACCTGTGTACAGTCGATTCCCAGTGTCTGTGTAAGATGCCGGTGGAGGGACTGGTTATGGCCACTGGAGCTGCGAGGAGCATACCAACCCGTCATTCAAATGCTGACTTCGTCATCTCACACCACGCAATGGTGAATGCAGGCGAGGGGACCAAGCGAACACTCCTATCAACCCACTGGTTCAGACTGCGAGTCTTCCTCCTCTGCCGTACAGGTGATGCTGAAACGCATGCATACAAGTAATGAAATGCAGAAATCACTGTGAGATTGAGCACGAGGCAAAGCACGCATGGTGAGCAGATGGTGAAATGGAATGCAACTTGTTCAGCGCGTTGTTTGATTAGGAATTAACTTACCAGTTTGCCCCTCGCCTCGTCGCACCTTCCATCTGTTCCCGAGGAGTGTCAGCCCACCTCCTCCAAGACATGTGCTCCAACTTCTCCAGTGCACTTCGTACCGTAGACACCTGTTGAATGTCACCAGACTGGGGGAGGCCAGCCAAGAATGCGTTGGGGATTGTTGCATCTTCAGCAAAAACCTTAAACAATTTAGGATGGCAGAAATGAGCACACCTTCAAGCGAGTCCACTTAACCATGTGCACCGATGTAGTGCATCGGCACACATTTAAAATAGCCAAAATCGTCCGGTAGGTAATAGTGGTTATGCTTGCATGGTATGCGAAGTGACAAGTCGTGTAGGTGTGATTTCCAGTGCTCGATTAGGGAAAACATGTTATGCCATGTCGCGAATGCAACCATAGGCATCGCCTGCAACTTGGAAATTGCACAGTCAAAGTGGCATTCCAACGAACTCAAGCTGAGTCGCACGTGGCAGTTGGAATGACTACAACGTATGGATAGCACAGTAAAATTGAAAATGCAAATTTCACTATGCATTAATAATGAAAAGACTGAAGGAATCAAGTGTGGATCTATCGGCTGGCTAGTAGGGAAGGACATCCGTGTGGCAATCACTTAGGCAACAATGAAGTATGCTGACAAACAAATAATGGCTCAGTTGAGCAATTACCTCATGGAAAAGTTAAGCCGAGAGTCCATCGACAAAATTGAACAGTTGTGATTGGCTCTGCGAACTATGCGAGGTAGGGAGAGGATAGAGGAGTCGCTGACTAGACCCAGCCCGGACAAGACTGAGGGTTGGATCAAAGACGCGACGAAGCGTCCCGCTCAAAAACGCCCAGAGTGCACCATTGAAATGGACGACAACTTCGTCTACAGCCCAAAACCGTTTATTAAAGACAAAAGAAATGACAAAGTTAAGGGATCGACACGCCAATAATAATAATAAGCCTTACCAGGGCGTTGGTGAACTGGACACGAATCACCATGCGTAACTGTGTATGCGTGAGGTTAGCCAAGTGCTGATGTCCATTCTAAAAATCAAACAATCCAACGCTGGAAGAAGGCATGACATCGACGGGGTGACAAGTGGATGACGCCTGTTACCTGACGAATTCGCAGAACAGCAAAATTTGCTAAAGGATGAGAATAGGTAAAGACATGCGTGTCTTGATTGAGGCACCACCGGCAAATTGGCAAAAATGCCTTCCCCCTTGAACTGGCATATGGTACTTGTCTAAAGAGGAATGTAGAGTGAGCTTTCTTCTTCCGTAAATGCCACACAAGAGCTGGTGGCTTGACACCGCAAGAGAGATAAGCCCGCCCATATATCCTGATACATGTCAGCGTGAGGGCGTTTGCCCTACCCCATTAACTAAATGAGCGAGAGACTGCTAATTGGCGCAGACAAATGGGGAAGGGGGGGTGTTCAAGGCACAAGGAGGGCAGTTTCATCCACGCCATAGCCGAAGAAGTAGTCTGCAAATGCCAATAACTCCTCAATTTTGAAGGGTTTACACTTTTCAAAAGATTCTACATCACCCACAATTCAAGAAAAAGCAGAAGCAACCAGACGGAGACCAAAAAATAGGGTTAAACACTTACCAAAACCTATTTTACCATGTACAATCAAGAAAGGGTCTGGGGATATAGGGTAAAAACACGCTGCCGCCCAAAAATACGTCTCTCTCGTAGTAATTCACTCAAGGCACATGACAACCGATGAGTTGCAAACCATTCTCACCTGAGCAATGTGCAAAGTAATACCAAACGCGAGGTTGGAATTTAGTCCCGTTCGCTAATACAGCCATGGTTGTAAGATACTGCTGCATTAGATATAGACAGTCCTGTCTAACCGAAGGTCTGAAATGTAATTTCCGGCGAGGAGAGCGCAACATTAAGCCGAAACTTTCTATTTTTTAACAAACAGTGTCTCTTCAGCCAAAATTCGGGCGCCACTGAAGCCAGCTAAGAACCCAACAGCGACCACAATCTAAAGTATTTGCCCAAGTATTGTTCAGTATAACAAATATGCTCGTCTAGGTTTTGTCTTAAAGAATCGTAAATGAACAAAAAAATTGGTTTATTTTGTCCTTTTTATGCAATTAAGCAACAGCATCTCCAGATACTGCAATACATGCATCGGCATTAAAAATAACAGAAGTATATTGATCTTCCTAAAGTTAATTTTAAAAAAATGATGAGGTCTAAATAATCTACAACTGATATGGATATTGCCAACACAATGCCTGTGCAAAGTTGACAAGTTTAATTAATGTAAACAATTTAAAATACTTCGGTAACTTACTTTTTGCATGTTGCTATTATCATTTCAACCCATTTGCAATAATTTCTCTTCGCAGCTCCCTGTCTTAATGAACTATAACAATATTGCTTTGCGAGTTCATGCCATGATGGTATGGTTGACTGGCTTGCTGGCCCGGCTCCTCTTTGTGTAGAATTGGATTTCGCCTGAGGTAATTTTTTAGTATGAATTGGAGCAGAAGTACTCATAATGATTATTTAGTAAGTATTTTCTCTTCCGCGACTCCTGAAGGACAATGATGAAGTGAATTTTAGGTATATGTGCGAACGTTTCTACTATTTAGTTCAGAGAGGAGCGAAGAATAGATGCGATGAAGGAATTGAGTATTTTAACAGCCAATTGAGAAGTATGACAACAAGGTCTCTATTTTAGAATGCCGTTTGGGTTTACGCAAACCATTCGTATGCAGTGTGAAAGGTATAGTTTAGCTATTTTAATGAGTGCACGAATTTTTAAAGAAAATCATTGTATGGCAGTTAGGATGTAAATAGTGCCGCCCAAAATCATGTAAAATACTTTACGAGAAACTTATTTGCCTCAATTTGCAAACGTACGCTTGGTTTTGTTAGCAGCACCTAAATATCAGTTATTTTTATTAAACCCATTGTTACTGCATAAGTAAATATTGTGGCTATTATTCTTTTGCCATTATTAGCACATACTATTTATACTTCCGTAAACTTACATGTGTAAACCCATACGAGTATTCATTGAGGTGTTTTAACGTCACAATTATAACTAACATGTGCAAGGCAAGAAGTTAACAAAACAATATTTTTGAATGAAAACCCAACTGGGTTTAGTTGTTATACTGAGCACTTCTTAAAATCGCCACTATAAATTTTAGATTTCAGGGTCGCCCGGCTGTCCTCCTGTTAGTATGTTGAATCGTTTGTTGCTTTTAATTATGCCAATATTGTGGTTAGTGGAGCTCCGTTTTAAAGAAAGGGGGAAATCCTACGAAACATTGGTCTGCACTTGGGACTACTAATGTTCTGGTCCTTAGTAGGTCTTTGGGTTCCTCTTAAGTGTATTTTATCGGATTGCTAAAAAGTAGGTTATGCATTCATAAGAATTAAGGGGCATTAATTGAAGGTGCGCATAGTTGTAGCGCTTCCTCTCACTTATTTGTGGTAAGTTGTGGTTTTTTAGGGGTTGAGGTAACTCGATCCATTATTTTCACATCATGCAAGTCTGTTAAAATGTAACAAGCGCATCCAATGTGCGTGTTTTAGGCGATGATTTGCTATTGATCTTTTTCCCAAAGTCTTTTCATAGTTGCATGGTGATGGTTGCATTGTCTGAATTGTTATAATATCCATTCAGATCCAATCTATCCTGCTTACTGGACGCAGATACAGCCGCAGTTACCCTCTGTAAAACTCAGCTGTGCTCTTCTCCATCGGTGAATGGAAGTACGTCTTCTGCAACTTTAGCAGTTGCCATTTGAACAAACATAAGCCGAGGTGGTGAGGACTTTGGTACGTACGATTATCGCATAACTTCATCATGATTGAGATTGTTTTTTTGCATGTCATTTTGTTTCAGCAGGTATTGGGATGTGTTTTGGGTCGTTGTCTGTTGACACATGTGATGGGTGGATGGGAACTTCGAGTTCTACTGCTAAAACGGTGACGAATGGACACGTGGAGTTGTGCACCAGCTTTATGTTGTTCGAGTCTGTAAAGGGCATGTATTCCGCCGGGATTGTATCGACGCTGGAGTCCATTTCGGTGGTCAAGGTTCGCTGATCAATCTGCGCTGAAACATTTGGAAGTCTGCAAAGTGTGGTTCGGTGCGGTTCATGATTCCTGCGTTCATGCCGTAGTAGGCAGAAGGGACTAACCGTCAGTGCAAATGAGATCGTGGATGCATTGAGGAAGGAAGTTGACAAATTATAAGTGTACCTGACTATAAGTGTAATCACATTTGAAAAGCACCTAATTTTACACTATTTTTCCTGTTTGTTATTTATCCGTTTCGTTGAGGTGTCTTTTCACAGTGCTTCCTATTTCTATGTGGTGCACTTATTTGTGTAAACCTTAAGGCGGTGTTTACACTACTGCTCCCACTGCCAAAACTAGTTTTTTGGGTGCGTCCATCCAATGCTGGTGTAATACTTTAATTGTTTGTTTAACCCTTGGTTTCGGTAAAGGGGCCAATTCAGATCCTTGCCATTGCACCTTCGCCGGGCGGGCTGCCGGTAGCTCCAAGCCCCACCTTATGCCAAATATATATATACATCTATTCTGCGCGAGTTTTATAGCTTCTCTGTTCTTTGCGGAAGCTTTGGGTCGTCACATTGATGGCAGTGGAAAGCAAACCCGATTTTAAAAAGGGGAACTAACTTCATTCCTACTACTGGGCTATTGTGTTTAGCGGGGCGGAAGAAGTGCACATGCCGCGGTTGGGAGAATCAGTGGTACCCTCTAACAGAAGGGCTGCAAATTATGCTTATCTTCAGCAACTGCTCCAAGTCCCTGGTCTGGAAGAGAGCTATTAACAATTGAAGTAACATTAGCTGTGAATCATCTGAAAAAATGGTTTGCCTCGGAGCCGCGTACTGTGACTGTATGCGGACGTCCCTCTCTACCTTTCTTCCAGCTACACAGAATCCAGGTAGATACAACTGGATTTCACTGAGGTGAGAACAACGTGTCTAGGAGAAGCAGACGTAAAATCTAACTCCCACGGAATTACGCTGAAACCTGCCCTTCGTTACATGGCTCTGTTTATAAGCCAATGTTCCAACGAACACTCACAAATAAGCGTAATGACTTGCACGTTGTTCCGCCTCGAACGCAGCTTTCATGAAGGACGAAACTTTGGGTCTAGTAGAATTGACGGGGGGGATCAGTGGCGCTATGATCGAGTACCTCCTCATTTCCATAGACACTTGGAGACTGGAGCAGTTGTTCCGTAGGCGTATCCTCACGGCACCGATTACGTTATGTCGACTGAGGGGAAAATCGAGGATGACGCTCAAAAGTGGAGGAGAGGATATGCAGTTCATTGGTTGATTGTTTACCTCTCGGTTTTGGCTAAGTGGTCGCTTAGGTGCTCCGCCACTGTGTCTTCGCCGGGTTGCCTGACTTCCGGACCGTGCCAGTGGCCGCGAGTTCTTCTGTTTGTTGAATATGCATATTCTACCCGCGTATTATGTCTTCTTTCGTCTCCAGGATAGTGTTGAAACGCCACATTGAGCATACTAGATGTTGGTAAGTGTGACAGGGCAATCTGCTTCATAACTCGCGTCAGTATCAGCGGCAAAGTGTAATCCTTGCAAATAGGTTCTCTTGTTACTAAGGCAGAACAGTAGCATGTCTATGCACTAGTGCACTAACTGGGTTAGCTCTTGCATTTGCTTAGAAAGTCCGCGTACTTTACAAAGTCCTCTTGCGAAATTTGTACCCTACTCTAAGTGTTCTTCAACCCTGCAAAATATTAATTAATTTTGTCAGTATTTTTCTGATTTTGTCCTGTTCATAAGTTAACAAACAGGAAAAAAGATATTACTTTATGTTCTCCGTCCGCAGCACAGGTTTACTTAATTATTTATTTTCCTTACCGATTTTTTTCGGATACACAATTACGCTTGCATTAAACGTTTGCTTTAAAATGTCTGATTGAGTAATTTTACCATCTGAGCGCCTTTCAACAAGTTTTGACTTGTGTGAATCGCGTTTGCAGTGTTTATGTTTATGTTCCCAGTCCCGTAATACCAAATCAAAGAAAGCATAATTCGTTATTTTCCTAAGATCTTAGCAGGATTTCCCACAGTGATTTACCATGCATAATTTGTAGATTCAAAGGGACTGTTTTCCATTTAACAACAAAACATGAGAATCCTGAAAGTCTCTTTTATCTACAATCCATTTTTGGTTAGGTAGGAGCATTATTGTGGAAGCTAGTCAATTTAGCGAAATTGTAATTTTTTCCTACAGACTAGTTTTGCTTTGTGTCTGTCACTTTGATACCGTGTCGGTGAAAATTTGTGCAACCTAGTTGCAAATATATAAATCTTTTATTGCAGGCAAGCAGTTTCCGTATTTTGACATGCTTGGAAACCTAAAATAGTAGAATTCACACTTCATGATATAGAAATTAAGTATTCTTGCTTAAATAATTTCCATTAAATTTGAAGCAATTAGAATTAGGATGAATTTCTGCTTATTTATTTCCCTCGATTTGTCTTCATTTGATGCAAATTGTTTAGGCTCGACAAAGCACTTCGTTTCAATAATTGCAATAACTTACTGTAATTACGAGTAAAAATGCTTTTCCGTGATCATGATATTGCCTTAAAAGTACTCATAAATGAGTCGTTTATTGGAGAAGGATTGGAATAATTACCATGGAGGCGACACTTAAAATTTTGGCCTGTTTACCACCGCGTGGCAGACAGGATAACGCATACCCGACGATGGGTTCAAATTCACGCAAACCGTTGCATAAAATCACCACCAATTTTTATTTCTTCCGCTTACACTTATTAGTTACACCGTAGCACACCCGAGAGGCGGATACACCTTCCTGAGATGGGTGCTGCAATCTTAAAGCCATGAATGTGAGCCAAAGCGTGCGGCGTAATCCCTTTTCGGCTTATGACGTCTCTTTCAAGTGAATCCTTTCATCCTACCTTTTTTGTGTTATCTCTATTGTGTGGGCTTGGTTGTTTCCGCCAAGGTGTCGCAAAGAGCTTCTTTAGGCCTGGAGGCGCCAAAAAATGCCCTTTAACTTTTTCACTTAGTCGATTGCAGCGACCATTACCCTCAAAACGCACATTAAAAATCCCTTTTTAGTACATGATTGCCAGCGTAGTCATTCTGCATCCTCAACCCGCGAAATGTAAATGTGCCGGGTTAGCGTCAGTGACATATGTTCTTTCATGAACAAAATTAAATTTCCTGCCTTCTAGGCTTTTATTTCAAAACTCAGTTTCTCTTAAAGTCAACCAGTCTAAGCCGCACACTTTCATCAATCCTGTGTTATAACTTCCAATTTTTCTTGTTCTTATTTTCAAATCCACGTAAGCCTTTGGATTAGAAATCAGATAGTGTATAATTTCCAAAAAGAATATCCAAAATACTTTGCAACAAAACCTACTCAGCAAAAACTGTGAAACTAATTTTCTATTTTGACTTTATCTAAACTGTATTATGCGACCTCTGAATGGGAGTTTATTCAAAGCAACCTGGAATAAGCATTCTTTGTAGGGGGCTAGCATCCTGTACAGCTTCAAATGTATGAAAAGCACTCAGTGTTAGCAAACAATGAGTTTGTACTTTATCAAGCATGCTAAACAACTTATTGTCAAGAAGAGGAAAAAAGCCGTTGTAATTGCAAATGATTTTGACATTTGTCCAAATGGCCTGACGGGATATAGCCTGTACGGCTATTAATTCAGACGAACCACTCTTAAGAGTGGTGAGAAACCATTTGTAATAGGTAGCGAAATCAGGCGACTGCATTTCCTTTGCGTTTAATATTTGTTAACAAGTGCAAATCTTGAATAAGTGTTTTGGCGCGAATAATATGGCTATTTTGCTGTTGTCTCATCGGTGGAGGCACGGCCACGAACCCCTCACCATTCTCATCGACAAGGTTGCATTAAAGTTCGGGGATTATACATTCAAATTGTCGCGTCGTCATAAGCTTTTGAGCTCGGGTGTGGCTTTTTCCCTTTACAAGCCAAGTCAATGACCACCACCTAGGTGTGTCACATTTAATGATCACTTAACCATCCCAAAACTTGGTACTTTTTGAAATGTCAGGAGAAAAATCGGTCTTTTGATTAAGTCCACCTTGAGTCTATCGCAGTGCGCACCACTTGTGCATTACGATTCTAGCCTTCAGAATTTAATTAAAAGGACTTTAAAAATATTCTTGTGATAGACTGTAGCGTCTAACACTTCTCTGAAGACGATGGAAGTATGATACTTGGGCAGAATTTGTATATTCAACATACGGCAAGGCTGAGGACTACTGGCGTGGCTCAGAGGCCAACGCACCCGGGGAAGGTACAATGGCGGAGCCCCTAGGTGACAACCCTTCACGAAAATCGGGCTTTAAACAAGCTACCAACACATTACAACAGATGCTTTACGCATACTCCCAGACCGTTCCTTTCCTTTGAACAAATCATGACCTTCATAGGGTGTTATTGTTAAGACATGATGCAAATGAAAAGTTGTCAATGGGTGTTTACATAGCCACTGACCCGCCTTGTTTTGATAAACCTTTATCTTTTATCACATGAAAAAATCCAAAAAGTTGTTGCCAGAATTGAACACCTTAAATGTTTGTGTGCCTAGAATATGTGCTTATTTTGCCTTAAAGTTAGGCATGTAACGAATTTTCTTCAATGACCTCCTAAGAAGTAGTTACGCAGCAGTATCTCAATAGTTACTCAATTTTTGCTCACCAGTGGCCTAAAGACTAGTTGCTCAACCTATTTTTACTAAATAATTTACTTGTCCAGAAGGGTAATTACAATTATTTCACATTGTCTAGCTCTGTAGTTACAAATTGACTGCACATGTTGCCACCACCAAACAGTGGGTTCTGATCAAAATAAGTAACTAGAAAAGCAAAACCGCACCAACTACCTCGCCTTGCCAACAGAACCTCTTCTAACTTTCTTGGTTTACCATTTGGTTGTATTTTGACCATGGGGAGGGAATTACAATTCCATATTATCATCGGCTCAATAAATTATGTTTCTTTTTACCCGAAAAAATAGAAGTAGGTATCAATAGTTCCAGGTGTCTATAAAAATGCTTTTTTTTCTACAAATTTCCTGGAGAGGAAAGGGGCTTTAACATTTTTTGTCGTTTTCATACGGGCCTTCAAATGCGCGCTCTTGCGCACGCACACACGCACTTGCAAAAATGCATCCACCAATGAGCGCGGATTAAGGTGAGGTATAAAAGCTTGAAGGGGTCTCTCAGATTTAGCTCAACTTCTTGATAATCATGAAGGCTACTAGGGCTATCATTCTGATAACGTTCTTCGTAGTTTTCTCAGCAGTACAAGAAGCGACAAATTCTCAAAATCTAGGCACAGAGAATGACGTAATTACGGAGGAATTGAATTATGGATATTCGACTACGACTACACCAGGAACGACCACACAACAGCCAATTGTTGAGAATGAAAGGTCCCCAACCTACTGGTACAACTTGGCTAAAGAGCGATTTGAGCGAGACTGTCAAGTCTTTCCCACTATGAAAAATGGTAAAAGAGCAAAGAATGTCATCCTTCTACTCGGCGATGGCATGGGATTGCCAACCATCTCCGCAGGACGTTTTTTCGTAGCTCAAGAGATTGGTCTCAATGGTTCCATCAAAAAGCATCCCTTTGAGGAGTGGCCTTACAACACTATGGCACGAACCTACGATTTGGAAACTTCGGTCACTGACTCAGCCAGCTCTGCGACTGCCTACTTGACTGGTGAGCACTCGATTGGGCTTCTAATCTTTGTCTTCATTAAGGCACGAAAACACGGACTGGAATGATTGGACTTACCGGGGATATCGGTGTCAAGCAATGCGGAACATGGGACAAAGCGTACTTCGCTGAGTCTGTTTTAGAAGCTGCTTATAAGGTTGGAAAGGCAACAGGCGTCCTTACTAACACAAGAATAACTCATGCCTCTCCCAGTGGTTGTTATGGCCACGTGAGCTATCGAGATATGGAGAGTGATGCGTAAGTAAGCCGCTTCAACTAAAATGACTTTGATTATTAATTTTTTACAATTACGTATTTTTATTTTAACAGCAACCTTAAGAAATTTTGTCCAAATGAATATAAAAACATGAAATGTCAGGACCTGGCCTGCCAACTGATTAATGATCACCCTTACATCAACGTGATGATAGGTGGAGGCCAAAAGAATTTTTATCCCCAAAATGTCGCACTTCCAGCCGATCTATCTGTGAAAGGAGTTCGATTGGATAATAGAAGTCTTGTTGACGAATGGGTTAATTATCATAAGAGTAAAGGCCATAAATACTGCCTTGTGAGCAAACCAAGCGAATTAGCTTCATGTGACGTCTCTGCGGTGGATTACCTCTTGGGTAAGCAACTAATATCACTAACATATCAAAATAAACTCGTCGAGCGTGTTAAATTTGTAATTTTGCCACAGCATTGCCATATGCGGATCACATGCCGTACAATCACATGATCAGTTGGGATGAGCCAAACCTCCTGAGCTACGTTCGGAAGGCAATGAAAGTGCTGGATCGTCAAGCAAACGGCTACTTCCTTTTCATCGAAAGTGGTCGCATTGACCATGCTCATCACAATAACGAGGGCCGGTAAGTTTGGGCTAGTAGAGCCGTAATTAAACTGGGAGAATTATTGCCTGATGATCACATTGGAGTTCTTTTGTCAGCCGATCGCTGGATGAGATGAAGCACTTCGATGAGATCATTGCTTACATTGAAAATACAGTCAACTTGGACGAGACTCTAGTAATTGTGACGGCGGACCACTCGCATTCCTTTGAACTGGTTGGACAGCCAGGCCGATTCCAGAGCGTGCTTGGTCTCGACCAATACTACAGTAATAACGTGAGTTAGAATTTTAACATTACTGCTTATAGTCCAGTGATTGTGGCACTTTAAAACACAAGAACATTGTCGTATTTTTGTAGACCAATGACCTTATGCCACTTCAAGGCTTGAACTACATGAATGGGCCTAATGGATTGATAAATGAGGCCCGAAGAAATCCAGGTATTCTGGACATCTTTTCATGGACCTACAGGCAACAGACGCTGGTGCCCCTTCCATACTCGTCGCATGGAGGTGATGATGTTGGAGTCTACGCCACTGGACCTATGTCTCCCATCTTCCACGTAACCGTTGACAACACGATGATTGCACAGGCCATGAAGTTTGCTCTTGGTGCCTATCCTTTTGACCAGAAAAAGACACCTTGTGAATAATGTTAATTTTGATGTAACCTCCTCCTTGCTACTTCAGAATCAACTATTTGAACCCTTGTACTTACAAAGAATTGTCGTCAAGTTACGATGAAGTGATATTTTTTTCACATATAAAGTCTCCTTGTTGATGAGTTGGCAGAGGGATTGGAGGATTTTGGTCATTTTAACCGACCATCAGAGTGAGTGGGGCGTTCAACAAAGTAGGTGAGCAAATGGTAAAGCAACTTCAAATTTGAACGAAATATGAAAAATAAAGGCCTAGAGCAATTAATTTCTTGATTTCAAAGGCGAGAAGTAGATAAAGGCTTGGAAAAATTATCCTTCACACACCACCCTGTTATTACACTTAAATGGTGCAAATCAGACACACCCACCGACGCCTAGGCGAGACATTTTGGCTCACTGAACTTGTGTCTAGATCCAATTATTATCTACCTTTCCAAGGGCAAAAAATATGAGCAGTCCTGTGTTTTGCGTTCTTTTTTTTGATAACTTGCAAATGGCCTTTGTTATTTGGCGCCTCGACACTTTGCTAAATGTGTATTGCCGGCCCACAGTAGAGCTTGGGGCTCCTGGCATAGCCCAGAGTCCAGTCACGCCTCAAAGGCGTAATATCGGAGCAGTTATGGTTTCAACCTAGATAATTGCTTTGACGGTATCTGTGACAGGCAGCCTAATTTAATTCCAAAGGACCCTCCCTTTGACATCGGAGTTGGTATCACAAAGTCGTATTTTATCTAACCTCTGTAGAGATCCACCCATGTCAAGCTCATAGGAGGCCACCGCACGCACATTCAAGCATCTCAACAGGGCAAAAGTGCTTTTCTTGCTCATCACAGTTTCAAAGGTAAAATGCATGTGAAGAGGAATTTCTTCAAGCATTGAATGCACCTAATTACTTATTCAACTGTAATAGGAGGGTCGAAAACTTTTTCAATCTTCGGCAACTACTCCAAGTCCTTGGTCCGGAGGAAAGCTATTAACAACTGATGTAACACTAGCTGTAAATAATCAAAAAAAAAGTATTGTTCCGGATCTCTCTCTCTACCTCTCTACTACCTAGACAGAATCTAGGTTGATACAACTGGATAGCACGGAAGTGAAACCAACGTGTCAAGGTGGAACAGACACAAAATCTTCCTCCCACGAAGCTATTCTGAAACCTGCCCTTCATTGCATGACTCTGTTTATAAGCCAGTATCCCTACGAACACTCATAAATAGGCGTAATGACCACCGAGTTTTTCCGCCCCGAATGCGGTTTCCATGCAAGACGAAACTCCAAGTCTGGTAGAATTAACGAGGGGCACCAGTAGCGCTGCGATCGAGTACCTCCTCGTTTGCATGGCTAGTCGGAGACTGGCACTACTGGTCCGTGGGGCCTGCTGACTGCGCTTAATAGAGGAGAGCAACTAAGCACTTTCCTAGTTTGTAGGAAAAAAAAGTGTCAAAGGGGGCTAAGTATTTAAAAAAAAATAATTTGAGTGTTTCTAAAACGGCCTCAACCAATATGCGCCTCAATCAGCCTTAAGTGGAAAAAAAGTCCACCATTATAGTTGTTAAATTATTCAATTTTAGTGTTTTCACAAATTAACACAAATAACAGACTAAGTCAAAGAAAAAAATCTTTAAAGGTAATTTTTTTTGATTAATGAGTGCAATCACTATGAGTTTTTGCAACGCCTCATAGGCTCAACACAACATCCAATTAAAATACATTGTGTGGACTCTCAACACACCCACCCATCCTTGGAAATCTGTATAAATACAAGCCAAAAGGTATTTATCTCATCGCTATGTTTAAGTCGGCATTCATATGCGTCATCCTCCTGCAGGTGGCTCTGGCAAATGTCGAGCTGCCTCGCGTTCCTCTTCCTTACCCTCCATTCACAATCAAGAAAGAGGAGATAAGTCCCCAGTACTGGGAGAATTTGGCTCGCAAGGAGTTTGATCGATCCAATCGACAGTTTCCTGAATGGTTTAGTGTTGCCAAGAAGGCTAAAAATGTCATTCTCTTCCTTGGTGATGGTATGGGTGTCCCTACAGTGTCAGCCACTAGGTTTGATGAAAACTACGCAAAGGGCATACCCTCTAAGCACACGTATGAGGACTGGGAATTTGGAACTCTTTGTCGGACTTACGATCTCGAGACCACGGTCACTGACTCCGCCTCATCAGCAACCGCCTACCTCACGGGTACGTATATATCAGATCTCTAGGTTTCTGGAGTGTCAGATAAATGTGGAAATGTCTATTAATGATTACTTACTTTATTTAATAGGCACCAAGACTAGGACAGCCATGATCGGTGTCACAGGAGCGGTGCTAGTTAAGCAATGCAGTCTATACGCTGATGAAGAGAAGACAGAGTCGGCTCTTACGGCTGCTGAAAAAGTTGGAAAGTGGACGGGTATTGTAACAACGTCTAGAATCACACATGCCTCTCCTTCTGGTTGCTATGGTCACGTAGCTCATAGAGATTGGGAGAGTGATGCGTAAGTACTGATTTTCACATCATATTTTTTCTTTTTTATTTTGCATTATTTTTCGTGGACTTTTTCAATGATTTGGTGCTCAATTTAGTCTGGTTTAATGATGTAGTGGTATTATTAATGCATATTCATCTACTTTTTTGCTGTAATTTTAGGAATTTACCCAACAACGGATGCACAGATTTAGCCTATCAACTGGTAACTGAACATCCAGACATTCACGTATTGATGGGAGGAGGCCAAAGGAACTTCTATCCAGCAGGAGTCCAGTTACCATCAGAACCTAATCAAAAAGGCAATAGGAAAGATGGAAGAAGACTGACCGATATGTGGGAACAGAATCAGAAACTCAAAGGCCGTAATTATGTCTACGCTGATGGCCCTGAAAAATTCAAGCAAACTACCTTTTCCAAATATGATTATGCATTAAGTAAGACTTCCTTGATATTTAACTCTCTTAAAATGTGTTAAGAATATTGTATAAAAATTTACTTGCCTTGATAAAGGTCTACTCAGTGCATCACATCTTCCCTATGAGCTGGACAAGCAGCAAGGCAACCCAAGCCTTTATGAGATGACCATGGCTGCGCTTGATATCCTCACAAAGAGCCCCAACGGTTTTTTCTTGTTCGTAGAAGGTGCTCGAATTGATCAAGCCCACCACGAAAACCGTGCAAAGTAGGCTTAAATGGTTCATTTTTATTACGACCGTCTTTTAACCCATATTTCTCACACATCTACCGTTCTTTACTTCTAGGAAATCCTTTGCTGAAATGCATGCATTCAATAAGACAATACATGCAGTATTTAAACGAGTGGATCCAAAAGAGACCCTTTTAATTGTCACTGCCGACCACTCGCATTCATTTGCGTTGGTAGGTCAACCGAGCCGCTTCAGCACCTTCTTTGCTCCTGACAAAATCAAGGGTGAACAGGTAAGTATGGAGTCCAAAAATTTTACAATTAAAATGCTTTAATTACTTTAAGTACCTAGTTTAGCTTTATGGATGCTTAAAATGTTACCTACTTCTAAACTACACCTTATAGACTCTGGACAAGAAGGGAATGCTACCAATAGGCTATATGACTGGACCTGGAGCAAAAATGAATACAACAAGGGACGACGTTAGTAAAATGAATGATACATACATCAATGACAAAGACACACAACTTCAGGCTCTCATACCAATCAACTGGTCAACTCATGGTGGTGATGATGTGGCAGTATTTGCCAACGGTCCCTTCAGTTACCTCTTTCATTCAACGGTTGAAAATACCTTCATTGCCCAAGCAATGAAATATGCCATGTGTGCTCCACCCTATACCAACGAGCCATTCTGTGTTGCCTGCGGCCTGAAAGTCTCACTTTTTGCCATGATTGGACTGATCATGTGGTGTCTTTTTTACTAAATTTTTTCTCCTTATTCCCTCCACATGATTGTTGGTTCATTTACTCTCTCTGATGAACACTATTCTGTTGAATGGGTCATTTTGTAAGAAATGTATTATTGAAATTCCTGCAATGTGTTTTTATTAAGCAATGATAAAGTGGCCAGTCTAGTATTTGCATATAAGGCAAAGAGATAAAGTGTTGCAAAACATTAAAGCTGTTGAAAGTTGACGCATGACTAGAAAAGGTTAGATATTGTGGAACTTTGGTACTCACGTCAGTAACCGCTAAAACACGGTGGCTGGGTTATGCGCATACTTTAAAGTACCTCAAAACAGTTAATGTCAAAATTGTTAAAGTTGTTGTTTTAGTCCTTATAATTAGAGAATGTTACCAATACCACTTTTTGCAACAGTAGCTTAAGATGCAAATTGATTCTACCGCATTCACTCGATTAAATCAGCCTTGGAACATAACTCAGGTAACAAAACTTTCAAGTAAAAGTTCTAAAGTTATTGATGAGAAGTTTTGACCCTAACGTGCCATTTTGCGGCAGTAAAGTCACATCAGTATTAACAAGCATTTAGACGTAACTATACTGACAATGCTAGATGTTGACCTAGATGCGTTCCAACTCATAGGTGCATTTTTTTATCAAGTTTACGTTATGGCTTGGATCCAAAGCTATAGACCCTCTGTTGAAACGAAGGATGCTGTGATGTAATTGATTTACGCCTTCATTTTAGATGTAGGTCTTTGTCTGGGACAGCTCTGAACTCCCCATTAAAGGTAGAGAATCCATATACACATTCAATGAACGTTAACGCACAAATCCCTAACTCAAGTATTAACGACAATGAAAATACTGAGAAAAAAGACGCAGCTGGAAGTAGCATTGCTGGAGTTATGCTCCCTGACTATCTTAAGGAAAATCTGGACATCGTTGTGGTAGTGTAGTGAAACATCCCGATTTTCCTTGTTTTAAGATTGGCATCAATCCCAGTCTAGGATCCGGAAACATCTGTCATCACTACGCTGGAACAGGGAATCACTTTTGTATTCCTCATAGCTCATATTTTTTAATTGTTCTCATTAGGGACTTGTTTATATGAGTCAAGACTAGTTCCTGTTCCTGTGGATTTCAAGGATGATGCCACTGTCTTAAAATACGGTATTGGTTTTACGAATATTTGTACCAGATCGGCAAAAGGCACATCTGATCTCTCTCGCAAGGATGTTAAGGAGGGTTCCGTTGCTATGCTCGAGAAAATTCGCTGCTATAAACCCAAAATTGCTGTCTTTAATGGCAAAGGTAGGTTCTGTCTAATGTAACGCGATTAAGACGGAACTGTAGTATTCTGTAGAAGTTTATTTTACGTGTCTTATAATGATTACCGTTTCAAATAATTTTTCACTCTTGCAACCCGGTTCAGCTGGTTTTATGCCCACATGAATCTTCCCGTTTTCTCTCAGGAATTTACGAAACATTCGTCGGCCATAAAAACTTCAGTATGGGCAAGCAGCCGGAACCCCTTGAAGGCACAAATACAGTGAGTGTCGCAGCCTTACTACATTTTCTAGATTTCAGATCATCCCTCACCTATCAGCAATTTCTTCACTTTAGGTCATCTTCGTCATGCCTTCTTCAAGTGCTCGTTGTGCACAGTTACCCAGAGCTGAAGATAAACTTCCCTTCTTCGTGGCTCTCCGTAAGTTACGAGAGCATCTGAGAGGTGAACGACCTCATCTTGAGGATTCAGAAGTCATTTTCGCTGACTACACCGAATTCCGTGTGACGACGCCAGACCCAAAGAGCCTACGAAAAGCAGAGCGTCGGCGGAAACGCAAATCAGAAGCGGCCGCTGCCGCCGCCGCTGCTGCTGCTATTGAACAGGCGAATAGGGTGGCGGAAGGCAGTGTTTTGGCTTCTGGTAGGGCTTTACATTCACATTTCACTTTTCTTCGTGATTCTTGAAGTGGCCATTAGTTCTTGATGGGTCTATTATACGATTTACTGATTTAACGGGTTTTTTGGCTCAGGTATTGTGCCTCTGAACCATCTATGTCTCCCAGCTTGTATATTTTCTATTAAGTTTTTTTTTCTTCCATCGCATTTCACCGGGCTATTTCTCATGAAAATAATTGGTGAATTTCGAATATGTAGATTGGCTATGCCTTTGGCGTCAACAAATTCTGAATTAATTTACGGAATACCTTTTCATTGGCAAGGTATTTCTGGGATGTGAGGCCGCCAGTTCACTGCATTTTTGATATCTTAAGGGAGAAATTCCCTGAATACATTGAACCTAAACAACTGAATTTCCGTTTGCATAAGTATGCTTCTTTGAGTTTTTTTCGAGAAATTTATTTTGGACATGGCTCCCACTCATCTACATACTTAGACTTGGTAACTTACTCCTTAAAAAGTGGAAAAATTTAGACTTTCGGCTGTGTAACTTCCAATAGGTTAGCAAATCTGCGCTTCCGAACTTCATTTGCGCTATCTTTCTCACTCCCTAAAGTCTCACTCCGTGACAGAGGTCTCTCACTTCCTCTCTCTCCCTACCTCGCACTACCCTCTCTGGGCCTCTCCCCCTTCCCTCTCCTCCAACCTCGTCGGAACACAGCCCGTTCACGAGCTAGCCTGTGGACACTGACACCGCCGCATCAAATCGACCACTCTGCCCTCTCTTTCTCCGCACGCACGCGTACCTCCTTGTGCGCGCTTTGTGCGTGTCCCCATTTCGTTCTCTCTTCTCTCTACCTCTCCCGTTTAGTGGATCAGACAGGCGGGCAGTCGGGCGCGTACGCGCGTGGCACGAGCGAATCGATCGATTTTCTCCGCCTGCATGTACGTGCGACTGGCTGTGCGGCGTGCACGTACGCACGCGAACAGTCGAACGCGTGCGCAAGCGAGAGATGGATGGGCAGATGGATGCAGGTTGTGGAGAGGGCGAAAACGAGTGAGAGGGAAAGAGGGTGAGATAATAGGGCCGAAATGGATAGAGGGTGCTTGTGGGGTGACGCGGCATACCGTCGAGTCAGCCGTTTTACCCTCTAGCCTGCTAGCAGAACGGTCTGTGCGTGATGTACTGATTGGCTGACGGTTAATTTTTGTGCACAACCGGGATAAAACGCCGCACTCTCTCCAGCCCTTTCGAGTAATAATCTCACATTCGATTTAGTGAAGAAAGTGATTCATTAGATGAAGCTTGATTCGTGTATTTTTGATGTATCATGTTTGCTGAGGTGGCTTTTTCTGATCTTTGTGGAGCAGGTTCGGCTACGAAAGATGGGGTAATCTGAGTTAGAAAATCACTGGTTTAATTCTATCTAATTTTCTCCTTAAGATAGTATAATTTACTTTCTCGCAGGTAAATCCTCATCGTTTATCTCAAATTAAGCAGTTTTGACAGCAAATTAACCAATTTTTTCCGATTTTGATATGCCGCGCCCTCTCTAACTGTTCACTAAAATTAGTTTTCACTTTCCTGTTCATTCAAACCCTAAAAGTAGTCAGTATAACGTTAGTATCGTAAACATATTGGAGCAACTACAGGTGCTTGGGGAGTGAGCCACACACAATTACTTCTCCCTTTTAACTTCATCATCTTGTCCTTCTATGGAGACACTCAACACTATTATCTCAAATGGGGATGCGTTCATTTTAACGTAATTTCCGCCCTAAAATTTCAAACGAATTAGTAACTCTTGGCGTAGATTACCGTCCATAATTTCCGCTTTTTTCCTTTAGTTAGACTATTCCATTCTTTCTATCCGACATTCGACGCTCCATCACCCTCATTAGTGGCTAAGCAAAAACCTACCTTTTAAAATAGGAGTAAATTCGCAGCCGTTTTTTCAACCTTTTGAGTCTTTATTTTACCATTATCACATTGTACTTGGGTCATGATAGGGCACCTTCAAAACCTTAAAGAACTTTTCTAATACTTTTTAATAAATGGAAAGCCTGTGGATTATCTCCTGTCTCGATTTGTTTAATGATTTTCCGCTCTCATCAACACTTCACCGTATTTTCATTTTATTTGAACTTTCTTCATTCTTTAAAACAACAATTTTCGGCTAGAAACTAGTCTCCCGAACAAACATTTTATTGCGAGTTTCTTGCTTTTTGGCACTTCTTCATCAAACCCTGTCATTAGTCCACTTCATTTGTTATTAAAGTGAAGCCTTTATTACCTGTGCATATATTTTTATATTCCGGCTATGCTACTTTGACAAAATTAGTACAATACCTGTTAACTTTCCAGCATCGCCTCGGAAGAAGAAGAAACCCACCGGTGGGCTAACTCCCCAACAATCGAGCGTGGGTGGCGACAACGCAGCAGTGAAGGCCATTTCAGTACCTAACCCCTTCATCCCCGCCGACCAGTTTCAACAGCCCCTTCACCCCTCCTTTCTGCAGGCCTCAGCTCCGGCACCCCAACCACCACACATCTTCGCCATGCAACCCGCCACTCATTTCCAGGCACCTGCGCCCTCTCAAACACACCCCCAGCCTCACCAGATGTTCGTCTCCGCCAATGGTCAGCTCATGACCGCTACGCCCATGGTGTCAATCGCAGTCCCCGCAGCAAGCACCCAGCAGGCAGCTTTGGCTGCTTCTGGTGCCCCGGCGCCAGGAACTACCGCTGCAGCTTGCTATGGTTCTCCCTTCCAGCCCTTCCTCATGGGTCAATCGGCGCCGGGTCAGCCTGCAGGCATGGTTGCCTGGCAACCTACAGCCGCATGGTCCGCCTATCAGCACGCAGCGGCGGCGGCCGCCGCAGCAGCAGCTACGGCCTCTTCGGGCTCCTCACAGCAACACTCACAACAGCAATCCCAGCAGAACCAACACCCATTTTCACAGCATCATCAGCAGCAACAATCGGCACAGCAACACTTTGTGTTTGCTGGAGGACAAACGGTTGCGCCGGCAGCGACTCCTGCGGCAGCCTATCCCCAGCAGCTCTACTTGGCGTCTGCGCCAGGTGAGTGCGAAGTGTACTTGGCTTTGCGTCTGTCACCTTTTTTCCGTCTAAACCTCGGTAAATGAGGATTTCTAAGCGTCTGGAATATGGCCTTGTTTTTGCTGATGAATTTAGCAGTTCTACGACAACGGCGCAATCAGCATTCGTTGGTTATTTGGATAAGCTTCACTTAGATATCTGTTGATTTAATTGTTATTTTGCAACAATCTGGTACAACTCACTGCTTACACTTTTTGAAATTGCATCCTCTTCGAGAATAGCTACAGCCAAATCACTATTATTTGCTTGTTACTTTGACTATATTTTGGAATACGGCTTCAGTAGTTTCACTTTTACTTTGTATGATGTAATACCGAGTATTTCTAGCCGTTCGGTTATGATATTCAAGCCATTGATACCATGAAGTTAGAAAAATACAAACATTTATTACTTCACTAATTCCCAAGTATTTTACCTAAATTACAAATAACAATGTTAGTCAATAACAATATAGTGGTGGGGAGACGGTAAGCAATAGATGCGTTTTCTTCTACTGGATTTTGCTCATTATCCAAAAAATTCAGCTGCTACAGCTGCTAGTCCCACATCGTATCACCTACTGCCAGTGGGCTGTCACCCACAGACCACTTTTGCGGGTGTCTTTGTGCCAGACCAACACCAGGCCGCAGCGGCCGCTGCTGCCGCCGCCGCTGCCGCTGCAGCAGCCGCTGCTATGCACTCCGCGCCGTACTCCACCGCACCTGCACCGCCCCCTCCATCGTCCGCTACCACAGGTGCAGCGGAAAGCCCCTTCAAGGTCATGACGATGGGGGGTGGTGGTAGTGCGATGCCTCACTTCCTCTCTGCTCTCTCCTCAGCTCCAAGACCGGGTCTCAAAGTGCCTGCACTTACTCAGACACCCGCTGCCAATGCCTCTGCGGTGCCTCTCGTTCAAACCGCAGCAGGTGGTGATGAGGCCGGCGCTACAGTGTCGGCCGTAACGACGCCGGCGGTGGTGCAAGCAAGTGCTGCCCCCGACGAGAAGGTTGTCTACAGTGCACTTTAGGTGCCTCCTTCATACTCCCACTCCCTTGTATATAGCTGGTGGATTTCTTCTTATATTTATTTGATGTAAATTATAAAATGAATGTGTGGACTTCATTTTTATTGTTTTTTTTTTCATGTGCTCAAGTAACTTACTCCTTTACTTTTCGTCTTCACTGCAGTTTCTGAGCGCCAACGATAAAATTGTCTCAATTTTTTAAGACGCATTAGTCGTGTGTTGTAGAGACGTAGTTTGTTAATAAGGCCAATTTTAAATCATATTGTTGATTCTGGCACATAACTCCTGTAATGGTCTGTTGGAGTTCAAGTCAATCATTTTTACTGTTTTGGCGGGTGGTTGCAAGTTGCCAGCTTTATAAATACCTTCTTTAGGTAGATTTGGTTATTTAGAGTTTGCACCACTGCCAAAGCTGCTCATGGAAGTGTCTCGTGGTGGCGGGGTCGTGGTGTGGCCGCGTGTTATAACCCATGGAAGTATTCACTGTCTACCGACATTAGAGAGTGTTTTTTTTTTGGTTAGGTGGGCGTGGCCACTGTCCAATGGCCGATTATTCTTTCAAAGCGGGTCTCGTGGCCGCATAGGAGTGCACTTTCAATTCATGGTTCGCTGTGAGAGTGTTTCCTTAAGAGCATAGTTGTGTACTTCCGGCAAGTGCAAAATTCGTATACTTTTAATAAGTAAACAAGTTCTGGTAAATTTGCAGGGGTGTATCAATTTAGGAGATTGTGTTGCATTGGCAAAGTCGGGAAGTGGACTGCATTTGAGCAGTAATCCGATTGTAAATATACAAAGGGGTTTTATGTAAAGCTCCGGTAAAAAGTGGGATGTTCGATCTGTTTGTCGCTATATTCAAAGAAATACTGTAGGTTTATGGGTCAAATACGGGAGAAAACAATTAATATCCAGTTTTAAAAATTTTAAATTGGGAAAGAATTGTTTAACAAAATTTAAATAATGTTAAAAGTATTTTTGGGTGACGCTCTTTACATTTTTTGATAAACAAGCTTAATTTTCTAAACACATTTATAACTGCATAAGGTCGTGCTGCCATGAGCTCATTGGCCACTTTTGCAGGCCGTTAAATTTGGGTATGTTTGGTCTTGATGGGGTCAGATGGTCGCAACACAGTAATAATTTTGTTTAATGAAAAGACCCCAAAACTCCGTGAAAGCCTTTATTATTCTGGTATAAGTTGCTTTTATTTTTTAGTTTTATAGCTTCTTCGTTCTTGGATGACTTGATAGTCCCAAACTCTAGTACCTCCGATACTAACACTGCCATCTACCTTGGATTTAGAGAATTTTCCTTATACACTATAACCACAATTAAAAGTTTGCTCTGCTTATATTCCTTATATTATTTAGACATGCCAAACGCATGGAAGAAGACCGATGATATCAAATTTTTTTCTGGGAATCCACTAAATGAACAGACGGAAGGGATAGTTCATATATTCACAAAGTTATTTCTTTTCCTTGCACGACCTTTCTTTAGGTCTCCCAAAGCATCTTCAAAGAAGGGGCAATCTTCTGAGATGCTTTGTATATTGGGTATCCCGTGTAGCATTACTGCAAAGGATATTCTGTATTTTATTGCTCCTATGAGGTTTCGTCATCTTGTTTACTGATTGTTGAATAGTAAAGGCATTACAGAGTTAAAAATTGTCAAATGTCATCTCATTGGGCATTATATGGCTCTTCTCAAATTTAAATCCACTGTGCGTTCTCCCTTTTCACTTTAACACTATGTAGGTGGACGCTGATGAATTTTATGCTACATTTAACGGCAGCTCTTACAACAGCCTTGAACCCGATATCTGTCAAATGGCCTATGTATCACACGTTGAAGCCATAACTACGACTTCAAATGGTTCCTGTGGTGCCTCTTTTCCCTTAAAAGGTCTGGTTGAATTGCCTTCGTGCCCTGTATGTCTCGAGAAGTTGGTAAGTTGGGCCATTCGAATGACTACTCTAATTTAGGATGAGCCAGTCGCTGGCATCCTTACAACAATTCTGTGCAATCATTCCTTTCACGATCAATGCATATCCAAAACCACGGATACTGTGTGAGTACGCCTTGGCTCCTTTTTTTAATATCACCCTTTCAGACCGGATGGTCATATTTTGTCTTTGTTGTTTGGTAGGTGTCCAGTATGCCGATACGTACAATCACCAGAAATGGAGGAGGACAGTCAGTGTGCTGATTGCGACCTAAGAGACAACCTATGGATATGCCTTATTTGCGGTAATCTCGGTTGTGGTCGCTATGGTCATAAACATGCTTACCGTCATTTCGAAAAAACCGGCCACACATTTGCTTTGGAACTGGGTAAGAATATGGTTTGGGACTACGCAGACGATGCCTACGTTCATCGAATTGCTGTCAATCATGAGGATGGCAAATTGGTCCAGGTTAGCCACTAAAACCGTCAATTCGAACAACTAAATCAACTTTTTCATCACAGGTGGGCGAGGGAGGTGAGACAGGTGACAAGAAAGCGGATGGCTTGTGTATGGAATTCAGTGCAGTTCTAGTCAGCCAGCTGGAGTCTCAGCGACAATACTTTGAGTCTCAGTTGGAAGTTATAACCAGCGAGTCAGCAGCGCGTATTTGCGCCATCGAGAATGATCTCCAGAGTTCTAAGACCTGTATTGCCGAGATGGAGACAAAGTTGGCGGCTGTAATGAAGGAAAAGAATCTCATTGCACATAAACTCGCGCAGGTGAGCCTGTAGCTTAGTGTTTAGGATTGTGGTCTTTGCCTCAAAATTGTTTTTTTACCTTTTATTATATTTCTCCTCTCTGATTTTTGTTTTATGTATTATAACTGATTTCAGAAACTGACACATGGAATTTCGCTTCATCACAAAACAGTTTTGCTTCACTTTGGTTCAACATTCTTAGTCTGCTGCCCATGTTCCGATGTCCCTGCGTGAATAGGTGTGGGATTTACCTGGAAGGACTGGCTATATTTTATTTGGATCTACAAAACGAAATGCAGATTATAGAAGTTGTATGCATTTAGAGGGCTTCAGGATCCTAGGTTTTAGTAAATCATTTCGAATGGTGGGGTTCCCAACTACAAGGTTACTGTTCTGACGTCTACCAGTAAGTGTGGAGCACTTGATCTGCTGCCATTCCTGAGGGTACTCTTGACTGCAGAGTATGAGTCCCTAAAAGTCTACTTGATTGAATGTCACCATATGCCTCGTTGGTTTTAGTAGCCTTTGGGAGGCAAAAAGCGCTAGTTAATCTGATTGTCCTCGAAACTACTCATATTGAAGCCTATTGCCTTTTACAGTATAGTCTTCAAGCTTGCCCTACGTGGTTAGCAATTGTATAGCCGTTGCCTTCCTTTTGTCTCTGAATTCCAGTGTCTAGTTAAATTATTTTGGCGAATCTCTTTGTGATGTTTCCCACGGCTCTCCTGAAATATCTATTTGATCGATTTATGTCACTTTCTGCTGTTCATTCCGCGGTTCCACTTCACCAAAGGACGAGGTTTCAGTGTCTCAACGGTTAGGTGATTACGGGCAGGATAGTTTAGCCAACCTAAGCAGGTCATCATAAAACCAGTTTGTAATACACCTTTTTTGAACTTGTGCCACGTCGTAGAGCACTGCGTCAGTGCAACGGATGCAGGCGGAGCTGTCGGAGGAGAAGGCACTGATTGCGGGCCTCACCTCCAGTCAGGCCGCATGGCAGGAGCGCGCCAAGCGAGCGGAGGCGGAGCTGGCGCGCACCCAGGAGGAGATGCGGGAGGTGTTGCTGAACCTCGAACTGCGAGACAAAATCGCTGAGGCCTCTGCTGCCAACGATGTGTGTCTTTTTTCATTTCCGGTTGAAGTTCTTAGGGGTGAAATCATTTTCTCATTCACATGTTTACTTAGTTTTGGCTGTGAAAAAAAATCCGGAGGCTGGAAGGTATTACTTTGTGGCGCACCAAAGAGGTTTAGTATGGAAGACAATTTCCAGTTGATTTTAGCGGTTGACGAAAAGTTTGGTGAATTCAGTGGTCCAGTGTCCAAATTTAGCTCTTTCTTGCACAGCGTTTGTGTTTGTTGGGCAGTGTTGATTGGGATGACTCTTCTGACATGAGATGCACAATTAACAATTCCTCAAACGCGGTAGATTGAAGTTTTTTTCTGCCTTAGATGTCTTTTTTACTTATAAATGACAATCACCGCACCAAATGCTTTTTTAACTCCTTACGTGCGTTTCTTTGGCCCTTTATTTTGCTGCGTTCGGGATAATATTTCATTTCAATTTTCACTCAAATTTTATCCACAAATATTTGGTTTTTCCCTTATAGCCTACTTTTGAATCGACCATCTGATTTCTTAAAAAGTAAAGTAGTTTTTATTGAGGCGAAACTGTGCGCCTGTTTGAGGGCATGATTAATCAAAGAAATGAGATAAGAACTATTTTTCATCTAGATTGGATGCACCTATTATTATCAGCAATGTACCGCTTTTTTCGTCACCTCTGAAGGCACAATAATGGAAACCACTAATAAAAGATTTGCTTATTGGAGAAAAGAAGGGCTTGAAGGCCATGGGCAGGGACGCGAATCCACGTTGCCGTGAGGAATAAGCAATTTGTGTAGTTGAACCTGCGTAGGCCTTCAGTGTAGTAATTTTATCCCTCGCCGCCTTTGTTCAGATGCACTGAATTGAAATTGTTGGCCTCTGCTTTGTACTTACAGATCACCTCTGGAGAATTGGCTGAGAGTGCGTTAACAGTGACGGAGTCGACACAACGACGACGACGCAAGAAGAATCGATAGACTTTCCTTTCAAGCATTTTTTTGTACAAACAACTGTGTTTTCATTTGCTTTCACGTGTTGTCTGGCACATTCGGATATGTCACTGTATTTGGTACTGGTATTTTAAGTAAATTTGACTCTTTTCCCCGGATTCTCTGTTTGGACAAAGCATTGCAATTTTACCGGTTTAGGAACGGAATGAAATGTCCGAAAGGACTGAAGACACTTGGATCAGCGACGTGATTCGGGCCCCGCGACTTCAAATGGCTAAAACCAGCCAAACCGGCACTACCACGCGGAGTCAAAAGACCACCCTTGGGGGTGGCCCCTCCAATTTGCACTGCTGGTCATTTGGTAGTGTATTTGAGGCACCAAAATACCTCCAGTGGAACAAATTTAGCCAATTCTTCACGCAGTGCTGTGTAGAACGGGATATGTAGCGAAATAAAAAATTATCGTTTATCTATTACTGTTTTGTAATGCCCTGCGAAATAGTGGCCAAGCAGACAGGTTGACCAATTCGGTCTCCAAGATGAACCTTACGACTGTAGGTGAGTCCTTCGACAAAAAAAACCAATGACGTCACTGACCTTTACTTCCAAAATGGCCATAGGTTAGAAAAAGATAACACAGCTTGGCAATTGTGGTATTTATATTCAAGACGATCGTTCAAAGAAATTCGACTACCTCTTCAAGCCATACAAGCACCTAACCATGCACTGACAGGCAGACGATACCTCCAAGAAGGCTTGATAAGAGAGAGGAGATGCGAAGAAGAAATGCCAGGTGGAAAGACAGTTCGGTCTCCACTGTTGCGTCAAAATCACCCACGACGTCAACGCTGTTTGGCCTTCATGGACATCGGTGGATGACACGATGCTGGTGTCAATGTAGACTCCGGGAGGAAGACGTCCAGACAAGCTACTTGGAGGACTGGTACAAGATGATTGGCGGCTGCATCATCTAAGTAGCTGTTTGCCATTCCTGTCTCCAAAAAGAGGTTTGCCACTAGCCGACGACTCGTCGTTAATGCTTCCTCCACCCCTTCCTCTGTGCTGTTGCTTGAGGCCGCCTAGACAATGCGAAAATAACTCACTTGGTAGTCGATATACGTATTAGGGCATGTATGTGTTTTTCAAGTGAAGCCGAAATAAAAGAAGTGTTTGCAAACCTTATCGCTGCCCACCTACTTCATCATTTAGATCTCACTTGAACCAGCTCATTGGCTTTATGCTGATTTCACCATAGTCTAACCGGCATCGTTGACGAAGCAAAGCCTCTCTCCGAGGCAAGACATCCCAATCTGTTGGACAAAGGAATGGTCCCCATAAGGCGTCAAAACCACTGACTGGGACCCAAACCCGACACGGATAAAACAATGGAAGGAAGTAATTTTAACCCTAGCCAATGGCCACATTTCATACTTCGTGCTGAAGAGATTTACCGTTCCGTTGGAAATGATCGTGCTGAGAAAAACACGACCAGGCACCATTATTACGTGTACAAGTTTCCTGCAGTAAATGGTGGCCCAAAAAATTAACAGTCACATTCCCACAAATTAGTGGCCGGAAAGTCCACTTTTTTGACAGTACTTCGTAAACTTGATCATACAATCACTACTAGCTTGTAACCGAAATGACTTTCCTTGTAATTTTGCCAAGAAGGGCAACTGTCAACGTGACATTATGATGCAATCAAAGAGGAACACCGCAAGTCATAACGCCACCCGACACACAAAGGCGCGTACATCCGCTTGAATAGCTACAAGTCGCATAGTGATAACTTGTTTGTTTTGGGGAACTGCGCCAACAGGCAGGCCTCCTAGCCGTGCCAGTAGCCCTGCCCGAGCTTCAGGGGAGTCTCGAGGGGCTACACTAGTGGCAGCGGAAAGCAAACCCGAATTTAAAGGGCCTCTATCCTAATTTCTCCCGCTGGATGATAAATCTTAGCGGGGCGGAATGAGAGAACCAGTGACGTCTACCTTTGGCAACTACCCTAGAGCCTTGGTCCAAATGAAAGCTATTAACAGCTGAAGCAACGCTAGCCATAAACCATCTGGAAAAGTTTTATCACGAAACTGCCTGCTGTACCTGTATGAAGCTGTCAAATATGTGAACAGGTGATACCTCCTCCACTCAGATATATATGGCTAGGTAGCTCTGAAATGAGAAAAAAGGGAACCCCTAACCCTATGGAACTATGATCAACTCCGCTCTTTGTTACATGATTCTGCCTTTAGGCCAGTGTTTCTAGCTATGGACGCGCGTGATGGCTAGCGTATTCCCCTGTCCACCGATGCAGTTCCCATACAGAACAAAATCCTAGATTCAACGGGGTTGTCGAGAGGGATCAGTTTCGTTATAGTCAAGTGTCTCCTCAATTGCATGAAAATCCGATGACTGGGAAGGGTCGGCTAGTGGGATTTTTTCCAGCACCACCGAGTATGTTGTGGAGGTTGACCAAGGGAGGAATCGAGGACGAGGCTCAAAAGAGGAGGAGGACTGTGTAGTGCGCTGGTTGTCCGTCCAACTCACGTGATTGGTAAAGAGGCCACCTAGGTACTTTGCCATTGTACTTACGCCAGGTGATCTGGCACCCGAGACGTGCCAGTAGCCCCAAGCCCTACTGGAAGCCTCGTGGCTTGACATTAGGCCTTTTATTTGCATAAAGTCAAATCAATTTACTAAGTCTTGGTAAACTAGGATTTCTTCTAATTTAAATGGAAGCTGATTTAATCACATAGACCAGACTTACCGCCTTCAAATGCCCAACGTATACCGAACAGATGGTCTCGTTTTGCCTTTTTGCCGCAGTGAGAATACTGAATTAGGAGAAATAACGCTTTAATGAGTCTGCTGTGCCATTTTTGCCACTCAATGCAACTGCCCTCCCCCCCTCTCAGACTAATGCAACAGTACATCTGGCAAAATTCCCGCTCCCAAATAAGCAGAGCATGACTTCTTCTGTTTTTCCAAGGTGTGCAAGTCGGCATCATTCTAGCTCCATTGTTAATGGCCTCAACTAGTAAAGTACCGTTGCGTAAGATGCCTCAATATTCCGCTCATTAAAACTTTTGTAATAGTACATTCACTAAGTAGGTATCATTCGAAGCTTTTAAAACCAGAAGACCCTTAAAAAAGTATTTAAGTGCATTCAAAGACGCAAAAGACGATGATCAAATAAGGACTGCTATCACAAAGTTGATTTGTGTAAATCCCCAACTCCAAGTATGATCGAGTGTACTAATAATGAAAAGGACAAACCAACAGAAAACTGCCGAATTCGTGCCGCTATTAGTTAATAATGCTAGAGTGCTAAGAGAGGGAGACAGACCTGGCGACTTTTTCGGCCACATCGAGGAAGCTAGTGTTGAATAGCTCACGGTTGTGACCAAGGAGGAGCAGACACTCGGCCAGTTTGTGTAGGTAGGCGAGAATGGCCGATGTCAGGTCTGCCAACGCCTCAACAGCTTGATAAAAGATCTCCTAACAAAGGCACAAATTGGAAGGGGGTAAACAGATGCAACAAAAAACTAGTTTTTAATCCTAAACATGGAGTAACTAGTCGAATGAAGTATTACAAAGTGTCTATTACCTTCTTTTAAAACTTTCCAACTAGATGTAAACAGTAGAGTAACTTTGTTTTACAGTAATTTACGCTTCTGAGTTACTCCGATTTAATGATAGAAACTCTTCATGAATTCAACAGCCCGAATTCATACCAGCTACTTACCTTCATTGGTACATCAGACTCCAAATGCTTGCACTTCTGCTGCACCTCCTCGCAGGTCTGAACCACAGAAAATAGCAACAATAAACTGACGTTCAAAGGGGTAAGACAACAGACCAAGTGCTGGTAAGACCTTCAAGAGCGCATTTCCGGGAGCCACCGCCTCCAACGCCGTCACCGCTCCAACAAGAGTAGTTGCGGAAACAGAGGCCTCTTCTTCCGTCACGTCTTCCTTCTCCTCTTGATCCTTCAACTGAAGTGTCTGCCAGATGCGCTCTAGGACACCACCTTCTGCGGTGAGACTGCGAACACTGTGATGATGCTCCTCGTCATCGTTGTTGTGGGGACCTTCCAGTTGTGCCAACTTCATGCCAAGGCGTGCGGAAGCACGGGAACTGAGCAATTTCAGTGCCTCCATGTGCACCAGGGCGAGGCGTGATTCCAGCTGAGAGGCTAGGTCACCACGACGCGCCTCCGATTGGCTGGAGAGAGGTTCGTCAGAAAGCTGTGCAGTGTGTTGGTCGCTGGCTTCGCGTAGCACCTGGAGAGTGATAGAGAAAACTTGACTTCTCTTTTTAGTTACCAGAATACTTGTCATAGTGAAGCAGGAGCATTAACTACTGATGTTCTGCAGGAGAAACTACAAACCAGCCTTTACGGCGCGCTTGAATGATTGGATTATCAACCCAAATTTTAACGCTATGGTTTACTAAAATCGTACCGGGCTTAAAATGATTCTCAGTGGTAAAAAATCCACCTAAACTATCGTTTTTCGCAGAATAAAGGAACTATTTGCACTTAACACACTAAAATGTGTTTACAAATATAGGAGAGGGAGGTGTAACAAATGAACCTCCGAAAAACTAATAGGTCAAAGTAAATATGGTTCAAGCAACACCACAATTTCTCACGCAAAAAGGACAAAACACATGAACACATAGAACCCCGTAAAAAGTGCATCAATCTAGAAGCAACTGAGATTTGGCATGCGTCCAAAATACCATTACGGAAGAGTCTCATTAATCACAGTGGTGATGAGTTGGGATACGGAAGCATTTTCCCTGCTAAATTCTAAAGCTACCCCAAGCTATAAGTGACCAAAAAACCGTTTAATGTCGCTTAACGTTCACTGAAGCTAGATGTGTTCACATCATTCATCAAGAATATACAAGAAATAATGCCAAAATCACTTTAAGCCTGCACTGTGGGCCCTTTTAGAAAAGTGGGGAATCCACCAATGATGTCTTTAAAAGAAAAGGCAAAAAAACCCTCCAGTAGAGCTCACAAATCTGCAAAAAGGCCCGCAATTTATCTAGGGATAGTTCAAATTAGCATTTTAATTATAAAACAAGAGTGTATTTGCCATGTCATAAGGCAGCAGAAAAGCGAATTCTCTCACACTGTAACTTGAACGTTACAAGACCTGAGGACAAAATAATCCTGAAGGGGCTTAAAACACACAGGTCTCATAAAAGCGTAAAAGATTTTGCTCGAATTCCGTGTTTCTTCTGAAAATACACTTCTCGAGTCGTGGAACTTCGATATCTTGAATTCGATACACGAATTGAATGTTGCACATTAAAACCTTTTTTGCAACTAGAAGAAAGTAGTACTGATTCAAATTGTAGAATAATCGGGAGAAACCAGAAACAACTCTGGACAGATTACTTGAGACAGCTTTGAGACTTGACTGTTGCCAGCGGGTCGAAGGAAGCTCTTTGTGTAGACCAGTCCTGGATCGTTCTCCTTCAAAGCGGTGAAGGTCTTCCGCCCGATCTGTTCTAGCACATCCACACCACCGTGTATGATTTGCAGACCCTACAAATTAACCAGCCAACCAACTGACAATCAATGTAACCGCACAGCCCCACACAACTAGCACAAGGCCTAAGCGTTTTGTTAACTGAAAAGTTGGGTAAATGTGATTATATGGCTCCTGGAGTGAGGTATCAGTTTACCATTTGGCATTTGTATTTAAGTTAGTCAATTATGGGTATTGTCGGCAGGAGGAGGGTAAATAAAGCGTGCCAAAAAGGGACTGTGTCAATCCCAGAATTAGAAAAAAAAAACAGCCTTTGTGGGTGTAGCATACCAGTAGCACAAAAAAGCGTCAGATTTGTCAAAACTGTCGTTTTGGATAGGAGAACTGAGCCAATGGTCAATCAAAACGCTCACCAATGACACATATAATAGGTGTGAATTTCCATAAATTGCGTTGATACTGGCACTAGAGCTACACGAAGCGAGGATTTTACCTAAAGAAGCGCCACGTCAGGCTGATGCGGTGCCAGCATAAATCTACCCATCTGCTTTTATCAAGAGATCACAAAAAAACTGTCATGGGCAAGTAAAGAAACCAAAAACTAAGACAAGAAGGCAGAATGCTTGTAATATTTGAAAATGTAATTTATGCCATACATTGGAAATAGCCACATCGAATTAATAAAATTTGTAATTGGTGGGTGCTTTCGAGAAATCAAAATGAGGTAGATAAAGCAGCTTGGAGATCAAACTACTTTAAAATATGCTTACCGCATAAGTTTTTTTAAAGCAACCCCTCAAAGCCGCACAATGAATAGCCCTACATGCTTGTGGACGACCTTAAGGAGGCATGATATCAGCATCAATGCATAGGACTACAATACCACCGCTGATCAGTGTACGCCACCATCGCCTTTTCAATGGAGATCATCATTAGACTTCATAACGTGGTTTAAAAAACCCAAACAACCAAGTAAGTTGATACCTAAGTGAAGCGTCGGTTGTTCTACTTACATACTCTATCGGAAATTAGACAAAAATGATTTTATAAAAAACAACTTCCAGACTCACTGTATTCTCGACAGCCGAAGTGAGGGATTTGGCCAAGGAGCCTAAATCCCAAGCGCCCCAACCACCGCTGGCTTCGTCACCATCAGCAGCGGTACCACCATCGCCATCATCGCTGCGGGATCCCAAAGCTTCCGACTGTGGAGGTTTTTGCTGCTGCTCGCACTCTACTGGTTTCGGCAGCGTCTTCTCCTCGAAAGCCGCCAACGTGGAAGAGAGGTTGGAAAGCTTAAAGCTTCCCACAAAACTTGCCAGTCCACCACCCACTGACTTGACCAGTGCTGTGGCAGCGGAAGTCAACTCCTGTGACGTAATCACGGCTGGACTTTTTATCTGAAGGTCTTCCATACTGTCCCAATCCTCCTCCACTTCCATATTCAAATCATCTTTCTTGGCCTTGGGTATGGGAACGCTATCGCTGATTTTCACGGTATCTGAAGCCAAATAAGTACTTGGCTTTACTGTCCCTGAACTTGACCAAGGGTCGTCCTCCAGATCCCAGGCATCCACTTTTTCATCAGACAGTGGAATTGAAATATTTTTTTGCACCTCCCCTGTAGAAATGAGTTTTTCCTGTTGAGTGGTTTGGGCGGGGACAGTTTCAGAATTGATGACTAGAGGATCTTCCACATTTTTTGACTGCAAACTGGTCCATGGATCGTCTATCGAATCCCATGCTTCCTGCGCCTCGTTTAATTTCAAATCTGTATCTTTAATTTGCACCGCTTCCGTGCAGATGAGTTTATCCTGATCTTGGGATTCTGTAGTCATCATGGGACGAGTTTTAGGTTCCAATGCTGACGAAGTTGCCCGTGGGCCATCCCATGATCTATCCCACCAGTCTGTCTCCTTAGCAGGGTCCGAGTTCGCAAACTTTTTCGATTTCGTTGCACTAACACTATTTTGACTTTCATCATTAGTAGACACAGCTTCATCAATCTCAGTTGAGCTAGCTTCAGTGTTTGGTGTTTGCGAACTTGCCCATGGATCATCTAAGTCCCACGAGTCTACCTCGTTGGCAAGTCCTGGGTCTTCAATCATTTCCAAACGTTTGCTCTCAATCGAGTCGGCCGTTTTGAACTCATTCGAAAAAAATTCAGTTAACCCAGTTGGGTTCTCAGCGTTTAGCGTTCGGGAACTTGCCTGCGGATCGTCTCTCAAAGTTAAGGCTTCGGTATTTTCCACAGACGGCACAATCTTAGTCGCATCCAAGTCATCGTCCTTGGAATGCATCCTTTCAGTCTGAATGAATTCACTCAGGTCTGCCACTCTGCTTTCGGGTTTTTCATCTAGGTCGATAAGGGGTTGATTGACATCAACAGAGGCAGAAACTTCAGTGTGGTGTTGCAGAGTTTCGTCCCGGTTGACATCCCAGGGATCGGAGGATAAAGAAAACTTGCAGGCATCAATATCAATGTCCTTTTGAGGAGAAACACCCATAGGCTTCTGGAGAGGGAGAGTATCCACTATCGGAGTTGAATCCTCGTACCAAAAATCCCACTTATCCTCAACATTAACTTGCTTATTGTCTTTAGTCAAATTCGTGTTTTTTGTCGGGCCAACATCGATAAGAGAAGTGACAAGATCTTCATCACCACCTGACGGTTTCTAAAGACAAATTAATCATTTCAATTTCATATGATTCGGTCAAATTTTAAGCCTGTCATTATTTGAATTACCACATAATTTGACTTCATTAAAGTAGATTCATTATCTGAGCCCTCGTCAGCACTGGCAAATATTTCGTCGCCGCTTTCGTCGGCCATCTAAAGTGTGATTAGGATGATGGGTAACTTAGCAAGTCAAAAGTGTATTCATCATCAGTACAAATGAACTTAACTAAAGGAAGGGTAGCGATAGTTCCGTAAAAATTATTTTGATGGCGAGGACTTCAAACACGAACGAACTTGACGTAATCCAAAGGACGGCAATGTGTGATATCAAATAATGAAACGCAATCCATTAATGCAGTGCTTGGCCAAATTCCACTATAAAGCTACTAGACGAGGCAAAGAATTTCCTGCTCAAAGAACCACGAAATCCTTAAGATTCTTGCGTTTAAATGGCAAAAATTGAGGCTGCTGTGACAGGTGCCCCTTGTTAAAACAGGTAGATCTTATGCATCAAAAAATTGTCAAAAATAACTTTTCCACCTATTGCAGGGCGGATTTAAAAATAAAAGTAGTGTAGAACCCGGATATCATTCCTGAGAATTCAAATTAACTATTCCTCGAATACGTCCAAACTCAAATAATAATAAGACTACTCAAGAAGTAAACAAGTGACAAACATGAAATACCATTGTTTAAGTAAAATAGAACACAAATAAAGCTCTTCTCGAGCCTCATTTTACATAAAAGTAATCCATATGACATGGAACGTGAGAGCACTGGTGATAATGTAGAAAGGCTAACGAATCAAAAACCCAACGTATAATACTTCAGTTACTAATCTGGCGTTGGTGTCCTTGAATGTGGCACAAAGTTCCGGGTAATTATTAGCATATTCCCATGATTTACCCCACACCTCATCCTACTTAGAACCGCTTTTTTGCCCTGATTACCGTTTGCATAGGATTTTGAGGGCCCAATCATTGCAGTATTTATGACATTCGGAGAACTAATTCACATATCCCTACCATGATTAGTGAAATATTTTTTAATTCTGCGCAACCTCGAGCCTCACGTCTTGGTTTCGAAAGGCAGAGTACTAAAGGGTAAATCATTTATTTAGTAGCATAGCAAGCCTCGTTTCGTCTACGTAATAACCTTCGTCACCCTTTAACACATCTGTTGATTACTTAACTCTTAAACAGAGCCCTTAATCCTAAGCGATAAATAGGTATTCCAAGTGCGCTTAAAAAAAGCGTTTACGCTAAGCGAATAGTTATGGCCTTTACTACAATTTGAATTGATCTTTTAATAAATTAGCTTAAACTAATCTTGGCTTTAGGGAACTGCTTAATCCTGAGTCTTCATCAGATTCCTAAAAGCCATGATAGCGTGACGGACAGTATATTACTTACGTAGAGAAGAGATGGGGCTTTTGACAATGTCTTCAAGCGGATGTACAATCTGACCACACAGCCAAACAAAGTTAAAAATCTATCGAATAGCCGCAGCTGTAATACGATAGTTGTTTAACCTTCGGCTCTGGTGAAGAGCAATTTTTGACTTGACCGTTGTACCAAGCTGGGTGAGCTTGCCTTCGGCCCACGCCAATAGGCCTAGTACATTCTGTATGTCTAGTTTAAATTGTAGCATCCCGAGATTTCCCTGAAGACAAAAGAAGACATAACACTCGAGTAGAATATACGTGTTTAGAACAGAGAAGGTACTAGAGCTAGTGGGTAGCCTAAAAGTCAGCCTATCCAGTGCGGTACAATGGGCGAGTAATAAGTAGCTCCTTAGTACAACAGGGGGTTAACAACCATTTCATGACAATATGTTATGGCGGAGCATTTTATCTTCTTTCGTGTTCAAAAAAAATCCTGCGGAGTTGCATAACACTTGAATTTGGAATCAGACAAGGGTGTTAATGTGTAACAACGTATTTTCTCATTTATTCTTTCAACGCCGTCATCGCGTCTCCAGAAACCACTTTTAAAGTTAATATATGTGGTTGAAAACCACCTAATTATAATTGTTTTCAAACAGAGATTCTCTTGATAAAAGTGATGACCCACTAACGAGTAACCCATGGAAATTCGCATGGCATATTTTGATCAATGAATAGGAGTAAGCCAACTCTTTCCAAAAGAAAAGCGGTAACAAATTTTGCTATGACTAGATAGAAATATTTTTCGATAATGCCAAGCAAAAATGTACTGGTTAAGAACGTGACTGTTTATTTTGTACATATTGTCACTGCCACTTGAACTATTTTATGATTTGTATTTTGCAAGCAGTGAAGAAAACTGAAATCTTGCATACTGTTTCAGTGGACACTTTACTAAAAATAATCAAACTGCTACTTATGCATTCATAACTTAGACTAAGGCAAAAACTAATAGTGAAAATATTCTTGTTAGGCGTCTATCCGAGTGACTGGTGCAAATACTGAGGAATGTATCTGACTAAGGGAGGCGTTTTGCTGAGTTGCAACTCTGAATTACCTACTTTTAGTTTGCCATTAAGGCAAAATTTTTAAGACAAATAAATGTTCAACATGTAAGTTACAGACATTCAATTATTAATTTGTAGAAGAGTTTAATTCGCCAAGCGTGAAGGTGATTACACTGATGTGCTATTCAAATATCTAAAAAGACACTTATACTTGAAACTTTGCCACACAAGAGACTTTCAAATGCCTTTTGTTTAAAATTTTCCTACATCAATTATCCCATACTTAAGTCGTTCCTTTCCTGCAGATTTAAGTATTATTTTTAACTGTAGATAGACTTAATTGAGTGTACTAACTGTAGAATAGATTTATCACATTTTATTTTACAATAACGCCTCTAGTTTGTTTAATTTTAGGGTCTAATCTTAGATCTCTTTCGTAATTTCTTAAATTTTGATCCTTTTACTATAAGCCATTACTTTAATTACATGTCATATACTCAAATGCATATATTCGTGAAAATTGCTTGTGCAAGTCTGTTCGAAAGCGCTAGTGTTTTGTGAAATTTTCGCACTGGTTTTGTTTGGACGTTTTATTTTATGCATATGATTGGGTAACCTTTTATCCAATAAGATCATCAATTAGGTCGAATCGGCCTCGCACTTGCCTGTCTCGCAGTCATCGTGTTTACTGACCACATGGCCACCTTTTCTGATCGTCTGTCCCATTATCCACTTATCAGTGATTCATTGAAAGCTGCCTCCGATGCCTACAATTGGGTCTCTAGTGGTGAAAGGTTCCGCAGCATTTTTCAGCTTAGTGAAAGCGCAGCTTCCGCTATTAGAGATCAGGCAAAGGCGCTTGCAAGCACTGGTACTTTCTGCAATTTTTGTGCCTTAATTTTGTTTATGATTCAATGTACTTTTTGCTTCAGTTTTCTTAAGCTCTGCGGTCGCTTGATTTGCAGATGCTGTAACCAAGCTAGATGATATCGCCTGTCGTCAAATATTGGATCGCCTTGAAGCCGTAATACCTTCGGTGAAAAAACCCACTAGAGAGCTGCTGGGTCAAACTGCTGATCGTGCCCTTGATGCTGCCGAAAGTTACCTTGAATACTTCCTCCCTGACACTAAGACCGACTTTGTAAGCACTCTAACTGGTTTTTACTTTAAACTTTGCAATTCATCCACGTAACAAATGTCTAAAGTCGGTGTGCTGTAGGAGGGAAAAGCCGTGGCATCTCGTTACGATCGTCTAATGCGTCTGCAAAGTGCCCTGGTCAACTCGGAGAAAGTGCAGGCAGCGCAGAACACCATTTCCAACGCCTACAAGGGGATTCAGGACCAGCTAGCATCGCTTTCAGCAGTTACCTCCAAAGATAAACGCGAAGCCATGCTTTCTATTATCAGCAGCCTTGCCACCGAATACAAACAAGCGGCAGAGGTGGCTTTTCCACGCTTCAAAGCCTTCGTCGCGGGCGCCATCTCTCAACTGCATAACTTCACTCAGGAACTACGTCAGGTAGTGACCCTTGTCTTAAATCAATAACTCGAGTCAAGAAACTATTATTGACTATTATTGCCATTCTATCCGTATGATTGGACTGTTTGCTCACCCACTCAATTGATAAACTTATTTACTATGGGGTTGGTCCGATTTTTAACTGCCTTCTTAAACCCTGGCTTGAGGCTCGTCATCAGAATGTCCATTATTATACTAAAGAACAGGGGATTTCCAGGACATTTCATTCCTTTCTCAGCCAATTTGCATTTGGGTAATTTTTTTACTATTGAAATGGTTTGGCGAACCGAGAGAACTAGCTAATAGCCGGGTGTATTCAGTACTGTAATTATTTTTCTACTTCATGACTTCATTTTGAGTGTGGTCTTGTCTGAAACGGGCTTGGATTTCTGTGGAGCGAGCGATGAAATGATATTCATTTTTACGGAAATGCTCGGTATACTGTTTTTGGGGAGCTTCATGTGATTGAAATGTTCTTTTTTATGCTAGTCATTAATAGTAACCACGGTTTAGTGCATGACTATTTGACTTTGTTTAGAAAACACATTGCGGATATTTTCGGTTTTGCGGTTCCTGTTTGCTTATGACTTGTGAGCTACTCTTTCAGGGCACCGTTTTGGTAAGCCCTTTCCGCGGCTCAGTTTCAACTGTATCATCAACGCACTTTTCAACCATTTTCGGTTCTGTACAATGGTTTTTTGAAACACCCAGCATCATTCAACATTTGTTTATTAACAAAACTGTATTCGTCCGCTAAAACTCATTATAATGTTCATCTGTGTGGGGAGTCAGTAGCACTTTGAAAACCACAAATTAAACATGACGGTAATTCATTTAGATCTCTTTGCGATTCCTGTATCAAACGATGCCCATCTTCCTTTTTGCACGATGTAGTGACTTTTTGTAATGATATATTGTCTTTACAAGTAGTCGTGAACCATTTTTTATCACTTACACGACCTGAACAATCCCAAACTTCCCCAGTAAGACAGGATTTTGTGGTACTTGTCTAACAGGAAATGACGTTGTCTGCACCTTTCAATTAGCATTATCACGCCATCTTATGATGACTGACCTCTCGGAACTTTCCGTTTGTGTGCACATGCTTCTGTCTCTGTGCAGATTTGCTCACGCGGGTGGTTGAACTTGAAAACAGGGTGGTGTGATACTAGATCAAGTTTGAAAAGCTCCATAAACTACGATCTGATTAAATAAAGTTTCATGATGTCCCATTTGTTTGGAGTGTCGTCGTCTTCAATGAGTGCAGTTAGTGATTGGCATTATTGAAATGGAAATTAACCACAGCTATGCGTGAGCATTGTTTTCTTTCCTCCTCTCCCATCTCCAGCCTCGGAGCTGTTCATATTTTCCTATCACTTGAGCTATTGTCCGGAAAAAATAACCCTATTTGAATGACGCCGCTGAAGTCGTGGGATGAATCCTTATCAGAGCAGGCACAAACCGGTCATTTTAGCGTCCAAAAGGTTTAGTTTACATGCGCCATTGTGGATTACGTCCGCCTGACGGGATTTTTTTTTTCTTTTTCCTCTGCCTCCGTCAGACCGACAACGTGACCCAAATGGCCATTGACCAGCTGCAGGCCACAGTGAACGGGCTGCACAGCACCTTGCTGAGCCTTAACGAGCGTCGCGAAAGATGGCTTCATGGCCCCTCCGCTGAGACTAAGCCTAGCACAGAGAAGGTCAGCGATTCTTTGATAATGTTGGTAAAGCTAACCCTTCTCATACCACCCTCTACCAGTAGCACCTTCACGCATTTAATTGGTCACTTATTAGTGTATTTAGTGAACATTCAAGCAAAAAGAATGGAAATAATTTTTCCCTTTACACCCAGTTATGTAGGACCGTGGTGCTTTTCGGTACCGATCAGTTAAATCATCATTTCTAATTATTTTGCGTGTCCCTTTATCAACCGACCGAGATTTCCTTCAAGTTCTATTGATCGGAATAAAGTACTCCTTGGCGACTTTTTTTAAACAGCAATGCAATTTTTTAAGAAGCCTGTGGTTCTAGAGCCTTTATTTCCCTTTTACTTAAAAAAATGTTTTGTTTCTCTGTCTCTTTTTGAAGTTCCTATTCCTCTTTCCCTCATTTTAGAAGGAGTAGTTATTAGAATGACTTCCTCAGTCCTCTGAATGTCTTCCAAATTTTTACCAACATCGTCGTTCATCCGAAATTCTATTTGATTATGTCAATGCTCTTTTTCTAAATGAGAATAATAAATCACGTTTTTTTTTATTTTGCTCTTTGTTGAATCTGTGGGTGAAGACGTGATCATCATGGTTGGGGGTGGTTACAACAACGGTGTGATACTTAATGTGAAATTAGCATTAGATATCACAAAATCTAGGCTTTATGGGTTGTTTTCAATTGTGTGATTCTGTGCATTGCAGAATTTTATTTTGTGGCGAGCACGTGCCAATTTTTCCCCTTCTCATAGTTGGAATTCATGTCTTGTCACTTGCGAAGTGTCATGTCAATTGGTCCTGTGCTTGTCACGTGACCTGTGTAGTGGTGTCTTGTTGGAACTTGTTTGGGCCTTGTGAGAGGTCATAATTTATCTACTTCGGTCTGCCCTGCTCGACTCTAAATCTGCAAGAGCTACTCGTGGAATGTATTGTGTGGCTTTTCAAGGAGATACGGCTATTCTCACTACCCATTCCACACTTCAAAGCCACGCTCGACTTGGACCCCAGAAGCCTATGCCCTCTGACTGCAGACCAACTGGTCTACCTACTGGAAGGCCGAATGGCATTTACGACTGCCTATCCACTGGACACAACTCAAGCCTGTTCAAGCTACATTGACAAGTCAACTGAAAGTTGTATTCCTGCAAGGCTCTGTGTGACCGCATTACTATAAGTATAAAATTCACCCTTAATATGATTCGAGCTTTAGATTGGGGGCGAGAGCGATCCCGCTCTCATGTCCCCCAAAGTAATATCTGTTGTCTATGTTGTGGCGTCAGGTATGCGAAAATTGGAAGTGGGACTTTAAACGTAACTAATACAAGGAGTTTTTGTTTCTAGGGTTGAAACGTTTCATAAAGTAAAACTTTTGGGTTTTTATTTCATTGGAGAAAGGCGTTTTGGGCAGAAAACCTAACGTCCACAGTAAAGAAGCGCATGAGCTCACTTGGCTGGTCCATTAATCGTCCACTGAACGACATTAACGCAGTGTAAACCATGTCACCAGTTTGGTGATAAGCTAAACAAAGCGATAATCCGGATTGTAAACGCAACTAGCATTAGAGTCCCACCGACTTAGCCACGGATAAATGTTTACTTCACTCCCAAAAGTGACACCCCTTGCAGGCTAAATGTGAACAAAGCGGCTGAAATTCTGAAGTCCGCACACTCCCAAGGGCTTTACAAATACGCCTTATTATAATATAACCTATTAGTAAAATCTGGTACCGTTTCGGTTTTTTGGGGCTATTACTGTACCCGCATAGGCCACGCCAAATAGCAGTCGACAAGTTGTTGTGACGCATTGCTTTTGAATGCAATGTTCTTTGCCAATTTGCAAAGGGAGCAGTTCTGTAGCGCCCCAAGACTTCTCTAAAGACGAAAGAGGACATAATAGCCAGGCAGAATATAAACACGTGAAATGCAGTAGGGCTGGCGCTACTGGCATGGCCTGGAGGCCAGCCCACCCGTCGATGGTGCGATGGTGAAACACCTCAGTGGACCCTCTACCAAAACCAAGAGTTAGACACTCAACATCCAAGTAGCTAGCGCTTAGAAAGTTAAAGAGGCATTGAACTTCCGGTGGGAATAACGATTCCAGAAAGTTGTGAGAAATGAAAATAAGCGGACACCCCATGAGCGTGCAATCTGGACTAATGTGTAACATCATCAAAACAACCCAGTCAGTTTGCAAGCTACATCAAATTCAAATTTTTATTTTATGTTTTACGAAGTCCTTCAAACGGTGGACTTGTGACGGTATCATTCACTACAGTTCTAAAGGCACTGCGATGCATTTCAGATTTCGTTATCAAACCTTAAATTAAAGGGTGATCTAAGGACAGAGAAGCAGGTTATCGCCCCGAGCCTACCCTGAAGGTGTAATAAGCCACACGAGTATGCGCTACAACTTGATATTAAGGGTGGGGGCTGTAAGCCCGAATAGAGGACCTTGTAAGGACAAAAAACGAGACCTTAAAGACCTTTGGAACTAATTCCACAGCTGCCAATCGGAATAACAGGTTGATCACATAAACCTTCCGTCACCCTCTTAGGGATACCATTTAATCTATCAAAAACGAAACTCATCATTTTAAACCATGGATTTGGGAACCAAGGTGTTAAGGCAGTCGATTAAAAGAAAACACAGAAAATTAGGCATTTAATCAACGTTACAATCATCACCACTAATAAAGGACTCATTGTTGATGAGGAATTATAAAAAATGCACGCGACCAGTCAACAAACTTTTACAAAATCTAGGAATTTAATACCTGGATCCTTTAAATGGTTTTGGATTTGGAAAGCTCATTAGATTATCGTTAACAGGTAGAAAACAGGCTAAGATTGTGCGTGTGTAGTTGAATGGAGAATTAAAGACGGGTACGAGAGCGAAAACAATTAGTTGACGTCATCATCGTCATCATATCCATCCCCACATCTGTGATTATCATCAAAATGGTTCATTTGGAGAAGGTTGGATGGGATTACATGGAGGGGGGAGGCACAGAGGTCGGAGTTCTTGAAGCCTATGCCACCACCGTCGTCAGTGATATTGACATCCAAAGCTGCGGTGACCAGAAGATGCAACTCGTGGGTCAGTGTCTCATAGCGATAGGCAAGACGAATGTTCGGCAAGTTGGTTCGCGTGATGTCGTTGCTGACCACACCCTCCTCCTCTTGCCAGTAGTTCAACCCAAGCCAATGCGACTTTACCTGAAATACGAAATTATGTTTACTTATTTTTACAAGTAAAAACATTTTCAGCTTATCAGTAAGTTAAGGGTGGTGCAGCAGCTGCATTAAGCTCTCCAACTAAAGTTGATTTTTAAAGATTAGATTTGGCTCACTGAAGTGATTATTAATCTTTATCTTTGCCATAAAAACTCATAACATCCTCAGATGGCATTTGGAGAACATCTGAGGAAAAAATACACAAAGAATGGCTTCCTGTAAGACAGCGGATATCGTGTTAGAACTCATAATGGTCAACTTATGACACTGTCGCTCAAACAAGGAAAAGTAGTACTTTTTAATGAGCTGCTGAAAGATTCTATAATTATCACTGTCGCTTAAACAAGTAGAAAATGGAATATAAGTAATAAAATTGCAAACGAACCACATCGGGAAAGCCACTGATGAGGACGGAGTTGCGCGCCAATTCGCACATGTCAGTAAAGCTAAGCTTCCAGACTTGCGCGGCGATGCTGTACTCCTCCATGAGAGGCTCCTTGGTAAAGTGAAACTGCAGCGGATCGTCCGTGGACAGGGACACATGAAGCCCACGCGCCAGAAAATCCTTCAGGGGATTTCGGGGGTACTCCAAGAAGAGTGAGTTGTTGCTTAGTGGTGACATTGCCAACCCAATCTGTGGATGAAAATGCAAAAAAACAAAACAATCAATCCTCGCCGTCAAACGTTGTAAATAACTTTGGTGCTCATGGTAAATAAAAATTATGATTCAGTCGGTCCTCTCTCATTGCTGAGACGAATTGCGTAAAATTCGAGCCACTTTAATTTAATCTCGCAGCACTTCAAAGCTGCATCAATCAAGCCTCCAGTACGGAGGAGCAACTAACTCACTTTATTTACAATTATTTAACTGGAATTTCAATTAGTTATATGACTTATTCGTATTTGGCTAAAGCTCTCACCAAAAAAATAAATATTGAGAAATTACTGTCTAATTTCTAGCGTGCCTGGCACAGGTAGAAGAGATATTGGAGAACGGGTGCCTTTCTCAGAAGAAGACCGTGATTAATTGATTCAGCCAATAGGAAGGTAGAGATCAGATGACTCACGCTACCCGCCTCTCCGCAGTGTGGTCGAAGAGCAAAAACGTGCAACTTTTGGTGGCTGAAGTAAAGAAGAAAAGAAGAATTTAAAACATATTACAGTAAGGAAGTACTACTACTACAAATGCGCCAAGATTATCCAACATTAAGGCATTTAAATGGGACATAACTTTCATTAGGCATCAAGGTGCAAAATAAAGGTGATAATGGATTTTAGATGGATAGCAAGCAGACACATAGAGATGTTCAAAGCACAAGAATGAAAAAGTGAATTCATCACTTACTGCCTCAATTGATTGAGCACGGCAATGTTGGCGTACATGTAAAAAATGTAGTAGGTATAGGGAGGATTTTCTATTCTATTCCACTGATCCGCAGTGGGCACACCGTAGTCGAAGTGGATGGGATCAACTTTAGACTCGTCATCAACGGAGTCGAAGGCACTCACGTGCTCAAGAAAGGCGTGCAACTCCGGGTGGGAGGCAGGATCTAGGGTCACCTCGAACAGCGGTTGGAATATGTTGACTATCATATCCTGCAAGCCAATAAAACATATTTCAGCCAGTTTTTTTTGTCAATTATGAAATTTTGTCAGCAGTGAATCCGAGCTCACCTGAAAGGTCTCAACAGCCTTCTTGGACTTGTAGACGTCGTAGAGTCGAGGCACCTGTATGACCCACCGAATGTTGGGAGAGTATACACGAAAGTCTATGGCCCACTTAGCAAGGTCATCCCACTCGTGACGGGAGCGACCGTAGATGGATAGCCTCGGTTCTGCATTCTGATACTTTGATTCCTCCAGATCCGAAAACACCTCCTGAAATATGCACACCTTTCATTATCACAGTGGGTTTCAACGTCGTTTTTGCTAAATCGGTAATCCTCAATTTTGGCCAGAATGTCACGTCACTTTGGGGATAGCAAATCCGATCTTGGAGGACCTAACCCAAGTAGCGGGGCGGAAGAAGCGCATATACCGCGGATGGGATGGACGCTGATAGACCCCAACAGAAGGGCTAAAAATGACGTCTACCTTAGGCAACTACCCCAGGCCCTTGATCTGTAGGCAAACTATTAACAACTGAAACAACACCATTCCCAACAGTAAACCGTCTACCGCATAAATGCAGGCGGAATGTATTAAAACTTGGGATTTTTTAACACCAGTTCTCATCCACAATATTAGCCCTTCAATTATGGCAAAATTTATTTCACCTTTAGGACGTGAGCAAAGAACGCGCCCTTGCAGTAGTTGTCAGTTTTTAGAAAGACTTCTCGCAATTGACTCTGACCAATGGGATTGTATTTGGCGTTGAACTTGTCGAATCGGTGAAAGGTGTTTCGATCCTAGGAGATATACACAAAATCCTTCAACCTGGTACAATAAGATTTAATTCAGCATTAATGCACAAATAATAGATGAGCAATAAAATAAGCAGTCGACACAGTTGTCAGTAACGCCGAGAGATTAATACACTTATAGTTGGGGAGTACAATAAAGACAAAAAAGGCTTCTTATCTGAATAAACGGTTAGTATACTCACTGCGTGGACGTCGAGGTTGTCAATATTCATGTCGTATGGAGAAATGCCCAATTGCTCCATAAGCTAAAACGTTGCGGGAGGCGGGGGAGGGGGGGTGAAAATGTCACTGAATGCCAGTCAATTAATTTAGGCGTGTAATAATGCCGACCATTTGAGTTACTTATTTACTCCCTCTTTAAATGTTGCACATTCGTAATTACGCGATTTTGATTCTCTTATAAATTAGGATAGGATTTATGATCATTGGAAAGCCAATGTTGACGCACTTCCTACTGATAAAGCAAACATTTAAAAAAACATTAATCTCATTTGTCAAGTAAATCATTTTAGTTTAGAAGCCGAAAATCGGCTTCTTTGGAGTGATGCGTTGACAACATCAGAGTGGGAATGCGTGCAACGCCACTAGGGTTTGTATATTGAATCGCATATCCTCATTTCACCACCTACCTGCTTTAAAGTGATCGGTTCTTCCGTATTTTTATCCAAACACACAAATTCATTCGCCCGCGAACGCATACACTTTTTAATGAATCGTAGCAGATGCTTTTGATTCATGCAAGATGCGGCGTGCACATGTGTGTCCACCTGAAAAAAAAATATATAAAAAGGGTCATTTTTTAAGTGTCCAATTCCAATACACACCACCTCCATTTCGGCCAAGGAGACTTGCCTTTCGAATGTTGTAGAAATCGCGGTGTGGTACATTTTTCTGCTCCAACGTCTCACCACCCGCATTCAGGAGTACATGCAGGTCAAACTTTGAACTGAGAAAGCAGAGACGACGGTAAGCGAAGGATTTCAGCGGTCCATTAGCTACAAACATCCGCATGGTCTTTTCATCGCGAATAAAATCCTCCAGAGTGAAAAAAGGAAGTTGAGGTAATTGGGTGTTGGCAAGGCCGGCTTTAGAGATCGGTTCTAACTTGGCGATTCCTTTGTGGAAACAAACTACAGCGGGCAGTGCTTCTGGCCAATACTTGACAGCGAATGGATCACCTTCTATCTCCGGCGGGTGGACGGGGTAATCTAAGGGGGAAAAAACAACATCATAGCTCTTTAAGTCCCACACAAAAAAATACACTTCATTCGAAGCCATGCACCTTGCATTATTTTAAATGGATTGCATGCAAAAAAAAAGTAGTCAATCACCGCAGAGGCAACAACGTGCTTTCGTTGGTGGTTCTACGAGGACGATTTCGGTTTATCTTCTGAGTAGACCATCGGCTCTAGGCAAGGCAAAGGGGCGTTACTTATCCCTCGGGTACTCGAATACTGTCATTAACAAGGAACAATCTTTAAAAGAATTTGAGGGAGAAATGACTCTAATCTCCAATTTACTCAGGATGGGTATTACCGCGCAGAGGCTTCTAAGCTTAATCCTCGAAACAAGCAGAAATTAATCCAGCATTTAAAAAAAAAACCCAATTAAACCCCTCGCCGACAATATCCATAAAAAGACGTTATGGAGGGAGCTGTGCAAATTCTTTTTAACACTAAAATGTAGGCGAAAATGACGTTTACGCTCTAAAGTTTGAGTCAAGGTAGAACGAAAAAAGAGAGTCGCAAATTCGGATTTGTCGCAAACTTGCCCATAGCAAAGCATGCCGCAAATGCTTGTTTGTCTTGGCACGTTACCTTCATTTTCGTTCCAACATTCCCACTTCGCTGTCAATGAAAAAATAGTTAGGAAATCAGAATTACAATTTGCGAGAATTAAAGCTGATGTGGCTAGATGAGAAGTCTGTAATACGTTGTTTGTTTAACTCCCGGTTTTAGTAAAGGAGCCACTCAGGTCCTCCGCCATTGTACCTTCGACGGGTTCGCTGAACCCCAGGCCATTCCAGCAGCCCCAAGCCCTACTGTGTATATACCACCCAAGCATTGTGCCTTCTTTAGTCCTCAGGGAAGTTTCGGGACGCTACAGCCTGCTACATAGTTTGGAGACATTCCCAAAACTGATGAAACTAGTCATCTTTGTTAACATTAACAGCGGCCTGTCCGGTCTGACACGGCATTGACGAGTTCCAGCTGAACCTACAAATACGAGGGTCGAATGACAATCCCCCTACTCTGCAAGAATAGATTTCTTACACAAGAAGTACATTCAACGAACACACAAATATTCATTCAATGTTTACCTTTGGTTAGCATTTTTAGCATTAAGATAGGTAAAATTGGTTCACTTTTCTCCAGAACGGTAAAAACAACTTTGTCCAAAAAGTAAGCAACATTCTGCTGGACCAAAAGATAGTATCAAATTGTTTTTTTTGGCATTTTCGAAATCATAAACAACAATCGGTTTCTGACATGATCCTCCTGGCCGCATAAACTTTTGCAATTCACGTTAAGGTCGGGGAATGTCTAGCGAGCAGTGACACTCCCATTCAGCAAAATCATCATCGCACGTTTCAAAAGTGCCAAATTGTCAATAAGGAGTTTTCAGAGAAATATAATTACGCCTAAATCTGACTTTTCTTCGCAGTCACAGGTTTGAGTAGAATGGCATTACACATAGTTCACACGGGGGCTTAAAAATGCCACAGGAAGCAGAAAGTCGCCTTCAAAAGTTGAACAAATGACTTGCAAATGAAGTGTGAGCATAGATTTGGCTGGAAAAAGGGGCTCCATTTTGTGACTACATTCGGTTTGTCCACCCCATTAAGCACGCGTTGGAGGATTGGTGCTTCAATAGAATCCTTCCCCGGCTCACCTGGTCGCTACGAGGCAATGGATGATGACGAGAAATTTGCATGACCACATTATCGTCTAGTAAGACATCCCTCAACCAAAATCCGACTCAAATTACAACGTTCACCGTTTGGGGGTAGCCAGTAAAACGATTGCCAGCTGTATGCCCTCAACCGGAAGGACATCTTGGGGAGCGTAAACAGAACACTTGAACACTTCATTAAATAGATGTACAACCAATACTACTGCATAAACATCTCAACCTTGAAATCGAAATAATAACCAGTCTTTAATGACCGATTCTGCAAGCCTTTATTTAGTAAAAAGTGTGGGCAGTGAGTGGACGGCATGGAAGTCAGCCTCCAATAAAGCCGCCCTGGTTATAAATCACCGCCTCCAATCTTGGCGTTGGTGAGACGGGTCAAGAGAGGTGCATTTAGCCGTCATCAGGACAACAATATCTTGGCAGCACCTGAGGGAGGCCTTGCCACGGCACTGACTTGGACGAACCGTAAATCAACACTAGTGACAAAGCGATCATGGGACCGAACCAATTTAACAATGATGATAACAGAATTAGCCATTTTTTCAAAACAAGAAAATGTGGAGGATCAAAATGAATTCGGTACGATGAATTTTTGTAAAGATAACCCACTAAAATACTTCTTTTTTTCAAATCACGAGTCAATAAATTGAATCAGAAAGTTTATTGCTTCAGTAACGTATTTTCTCCAATTATCTGTACCCCAACGTTGAGATTTTTGTTAAAAATGATCAGTTTAGATGTAAAAGATTAATACAATACATCCAATGATAAAAGCCATCCTAATTTTAAAGTTGTAAAAGGTGCTTAACGAGCCACTGCTATGTCTACCTCCAGCACAGGAAAACAGCAGCTGAAAATTTAAATGTCAGATTTAGAACAAAGCATTATCTCTTCCTTGATTAGACAAAATACTCGGACAACAGTCTTTTAGAAACTTTATGCCCAGACGGAGAATAATCTCAAGCCAATAACTCGTGTTTTCACTTTATGAATAGCGTACTACGCCGGTTGTTTGTTGAACAGTCAGATTTTGGTAAGGGGGCCACCTAGGTGCGCCGTTATTGTTCCTTCGCTGGGTAGGCTGGCCTCCGAGTCATGCCAGTAGCACCAAGCCCTACTGATGTCGAATAAATACATGTTCTACTCCTCAAGGAAACCTCGGAACGCTACAGTAGGAGAAGTTACCAGGAGACCAAAAAACTAAACTAAGACTTACAAAAGAAGGCTCAGAATATCGAGCATTTATTGGAAAATGATGTTTTGAGTGATTAATAGGAGACGCCTAACCGTTTAAGTGGGCGTGTGCCCATCAGACCACGTGAGATGGAGACGTGTATCGTTCTATCGCGGTAATTTGAGGGCAAACCGCCTAGGCGTAACCGAGACAAGGAAAAAAAGTGAACTCAGCTATACTTTTATGCGTATCCATTCAGGAGCCCGAAATTTTTTAACATACTTCTCATGCTTGACTTTAATTCCGCATTAATTTGTAGCTCAAAGCAAAACAGTGTTCTGTTTGGATTATTTTTTTTATAAACTGAATGAATAAAATGAAGTAATGAAAGACCCGTGCTTCTTGAACTGCGCGACACTTTAGTCTCCATAGGCTGGACGACTGCTCTGTATCACTCCTCCGTACATTGGGCATGTATGTTTTGAATGAACTGCTTAAATCCCAGTGCTTATTTTCAACCTGGACAATTACCGCATAATTCAATAAATTTTCGAGTAAATCAACTTGGTGATAACTGTGAAAGTAGTATTAAAATCTCGAGGGCAGTCGAATAAACGCAGAGCAAGTGAAAACCCCCCTTCTAAGGCGTACTCATAAAGTCTTCAGTAGTATAGACGACTTAGGGACAACGCTGGGATTTTGTACTAACAGACGATTGGGTAAAATTTATTCCAATGTCCATTCAAAATTCCTCTCATGTACTATTTCGTCTTTTGAATAAAGAAAGTGTGAGCAATAAACTATATGGTTATATTTTGTAATTTAGCTGCCTACGAGGAATTTTGCATGTTAGATGCATAATCCACAACAAATATCCACTACAAATAAAACTCCGACCACATTTTTGTTATTTTTACGTAAAAAATTCATACCCCTAGTGGAAGAAGATGTAGTGTAGTAGAAAGCGTCCCTCGGAGGCTGCAGCTCCTCCCTGGATCCAAGGCGTGCCAGTCTGAGGTAGCGTTTGGCAACCCGACCATTTTTTTGCAGAGACGCCCTCATGTACTTGTCACGCAATTCCATGGACTTGAGGAGAGCCACTGCAGCTTCCTGTAGATCGTCCACAGTGACCTCGAAGCGAAATACAAGGTAAATTAAGACTAACCCAATCCATTGCCTAAGGGCAATAGCTTTTGCTACTAGACTTGAAAGTGAAAAGAACACGCATTTAAACCGATGTCTCTTTGAGAAACTCATTTTTATGTATGTTACCACCGGACCTAGTAAATGGGGAAATCCGTCAGCACAACCGACGATGATATGTTTACACTTATTACTTCCCGCACGTACCTAATCGTGCTTTCAGTTGCGGTTAAAGCGCGTTGAGAAAGTGCGCTACTTGAAAAGAAGATTCATTCAAATTAAGGATCACTTCGGGTCATTTCGTCTTATAAATACTTGATTTGATATTCCATGTAGCAGGAACGATTTCAAAGTGATTCCCGTCTTATAAACACATAAAATAGGTCAGTGGTTTGTTTAACTCTCGGTTTAAGCAACGGGCCAATCAGGAGCTTCGCTATGGTACCACCCATATGCGGACCGGCTTTCGGGGTGTGGTAGTAGCCTCAATCCCTTCTTTATGCCAAAAAAGACAGATTCTACCCCGGCATTATACATTTTTTCATCTTCAGGCAAATCTCAGGGTGCTACACTGGTGGTATCGGGAAGCGAAATCTATCTTAAAGGATAGTTATCCTGTTTTCTACTGCTGGTTTATAAACCTTAGCGGGATGTAAGTGCATATACTGCGGATGGGTGAATCGGTAACTTCTAAAAAAAGGCCTGAAAATGATGTCAACCTTCGGCAACTACACCAATCTCGTGGTCCACCAAAAGGCTATTAACAACTGAAGCAACACTGGTCATGAGTTATCTGGAAAAAATATCATTACGGAGCTGACCACGGTACCTGTATGAAAATATCAATTATATGAATAATTAACAACTCCTCCATATCTTTATCAGCCGGCTAAAACCCAAGTAGATATGACCGAACAGCCCTGAGCTGAGAAGAACGTGACAAGGAGGGATGGAAGCAAAACCCTTACCACCACGGAACTATGCTAAACTTCGTCATTTGTTATGTAACTCTGCCTTTAGACCAGTATTCCTACGACTACTAATGGATACGCGTCCTGGTCAGTACATTCCCCCGTCTCCAAATCCAGTTCCCATACAGGATGAGACTCAGGATCCAACAGAATTGCCAGGAGGGATTGGCGACACTGAATATTCTCAGTCGCATGGAAACTCAATGGCTGGCACGGTTGGTCCGTTGGTGCATTTCCTACAGCACCAATTACGTCGTGATGGCTGATGCAGAATGTCGACCGACGGGAGCACCGAGGACAACCGCCCAGGGGCGACCTGACGTCCGGGCTGCGCCGGCAGCCCCAATCCCCACTCCTCATCGAATAGCCGTATCCTACCCGAGTATATGTCTTCTTTCGTCTTCGGGAAGGTTTCGGGCATTACATATATGTACAAAGTGCAGAGCTCTAAGCTCAAACTGTACCGCTTGCCAACAATCAAAAAGCCAGCTGTTAAAAAGAATTCGTGACAGAGGAAGGTGCGTTTACAGCAACTGCCAAAAAACGTTATGAATCGTCAAAAAGGTGTCAGCTCATAGTCAGCATCTAATGAAACTGGCTTATAAATTGGTTTTTAAATCCAAGTAAAAAACCATTTCGCATGTGAGCCCACACGCTAATAAGGCCAAAGAATCCCTGGTCCAAGAATGATACGAAAAGTATTGTTTCAAAAACTTGCCTTTCATGGTAGGTTTCAACTAAAAGCTACCAATTCAGATGCGGGAATACATACTACTGAATCGACAGAATCGTTTGTGGATACTGCACTTAAAAAATTGGCCTAAAATTTTGCTCTTCGCTCACATTAAAAGAGACCTTCCAAACTGAAAAATTCAAAAGATCATTAGCTCATAAATCGTGTCCTTTTGAGATAAAAACTACTGAAATCAAACCAGAATAAACTATTCCGTGCGAAGGACAACACACCACGACATTGAAAGGAGCATTCGTCAGTACTAATTCGGAAGTCTATCTCTTACTACCAATTTCAATTCCTCACTTCTACCACTCACGAAGGCCAAGTGATCTGAAAAATGTTGTCTCCACCATTTCTTTATGGTATCAACGCATATCAAATGAGTGGAAAATTATTACTAACAATTACTGATGCTTCATAGGTGATACCAGGAACACAATTATTCGGAATTACAAGTAAGTAGTACTAAACAAATACGTTGTTATATGCAGTGACAAGTCCCAACTGTTCCTTTTACTTTATTTAAAGTAATGAGATTAATTTGCGTGATCTTTCGCTCATTTTAAGCGCCTACTCACTTAATTAGGCAATTTTTTACCGTTACGATTTTCAACTAGGTTCACAGATAACTTGCAATGAAATTTGTTGAGCTGACTTTTACAGGAGCAGACAACATGAGGTTGGTAGTTATTTGATATGTTATGCAGGTTTCTGGACGGCCCACAGTCCTCAGGTTGCAGGTGTGCGTTCGTAGCTACAGAAGTAACCCTTTGTGATTAACACGGCAGAATGCAACACCGACCTATTAGGGTGTGAAATAATTTTTAATCGTCAAATTCACGTGTTCTACAAAACTAATTCCTGGTGTGATATAGGAGCAATGAAACATTTATATTTCGGTAATACATTTTGGAATTAGTAATTGCTGTTAATAAGATATAACGTATCTAACTTAGACTATAACACCTTTCATTTGGAACAATACTACCTATGAAGAACTTGTGAATTCTGTCCATAACGCAAAATCGAGGGGGTAGACATACATCGGTAAGGCGTAACAATGAGATGTTACTTATAAACTACTTATAAAAAGCAGTTTTTTGGAAAATGTACCATCTATAATTGACGCAAAAGTACCCTAGATTAGACGTTAAAGTTGTTAGCATATTACTTATGAATGACAGCTTTTCAGAACGGTGTCATACAGGCAACAGTTAAGGTTCGAATTGGTACTGATACATCCTATTAGATAAAATAGCAACAAAATCACAGCTATAAAAACTGTATTCGATGGTTCGTATGATGAGAAGTGTTAGTATCCTTCAATAGATGGGATGAGAGTACTGATAGATTAGCTGTTAGGCAATTAATAGCAATGGTTCTCTTGAAAAGGTGAGCAAAGTAATGATATTCCCCAGTAATTGAAGTTTATGATGAAGAAGTTTAATGCCACTTATAGACTCACGCCTGGTGTATTGGCTTCACCAATGCACACGCGTTGATACTCAACAAGATGCCGAATCGGTGAGGCCCTGACGACTTCAGGGATCACCTTGTTTGTGCGTAGATCATCCTCTTCATCGACATGGAATTTTGTGTCACCTTCAGAAGTTTTGAGTGGCGCGATAAGATAAGAGGCATCTTTGAGACCCCCCGAGGAGTTACCGTTGGTGAGCGGCTCTGACGGAGTTTCAAATTGGACGGGTGAGAGGCGGAAACGCGCCTCCTTGGGTGTTAGGTTAGGAGAGGCTTGAAAATGGGATGGCTGATCACCATGTGCGGGACTGGTTAAAAAGAATGGGTGAAAGGTTTCATTCTGATAAGGACCCCTACTATGGGTGAACATATGAATGGATGGAAACAAGTGGATTGAAAAATGGGTAGAAAAGTTGGTGGTGCTAGTGCAACCATTTTTTACCTATAACATAGCTCAAAAGGCTTTCTAAAGTAAAAAACTTTGATTCCCATTCATGTGGTAAATAATCAGGATACTGCTCACTGACAACTAATGTATGCCTAAAACAACCACAAGTTTCAAATCCCACGAATTAATATTAGTCCAGAGACTTACAAAAACGCCCTTTTTCTAGGATTGCTAAGCTAAAAAAATCAGCCGCATATGGTGAAGTACTCTCCTATCACTTTCTTCGATTGAAAAATTACCCGGATATGCCGCTGAATGCAGCTAAAATTGCGCATAAAAAATCAACACGAACAAATGATTTTTTAGATGATTATTAACCTTCGGTGACTAATTAATTTCGATAAATTGGCCAATGCAATTTTCTGGCATTAAAAGCAAAGCAACATCCAGGGTAGCTTATTTACTATAGTTGTCCCACTTTCTAACTAAATCAAATATGAGATTAGATCCATTATTCAGTGTATGGATAATCGACTAAATCTTAATCTTTAGCAGTATGCTACTACACTATGCAATTGAGGTATCTATAACGACAACAAGAGTTGACATATATGTATGTATATCCTGAAATAGCTTATTTTTAGGCTTAAAGTTCGACCATCTACTGAAATCAAATAGATCCTACGATTCGTAGATTAAAGTTATTTAAACAAACACTCACCGAGCGAGTTGACGCGAAAGAAGATGGTTCTTCATTTCGTTGCGTTCAATTGGTAACTTAGGAATATCAAATTCGAAGGACCCTTCGTGAAAAGACGTATTATTATCAGTTCCACCGACGCGCCGAAGACTTCCGGCTATCTCGGATATTTCCCTTTCCATTCTGTATTCATCAAAAATTGATAGAGCAAAAAACACAAGAAGTTTCACAACAGACTTTCGCCTAGGTGGTCAAGTACTAATAAAAATGAAGACTAGGTTAGTCAAGTCACCCCCTTGATAAATAGTATTATGAAACACTCTGTATGTTTACCAACCTTCGTGCAAATAACAAAATAAACTGCCTATTTAAAACAAACTTGAAAAAAAGTGAAAACATCTATGTCGTAATATAAAAATTGTGCATAGATGGTAATACGTCAAGTCGTAACATTCACCGTTATGGCAAATAAATGAGACCAATGTACTCACCAAATAAATTACATAAAACAGCAAAAATGGACAAAAAAGTCATGAAACCTTGTTGCTACAATCGTGCTTTAATATGAATGACGTCGGAAACATTTGAATTTAAAAGTACGGAACGAACCCGCTCGCTCATGCCCAGAAAGCCATGACCTTGATTTAAGGATCTTGACACGCCAAACAGGTAAGAGAAACAATTGTATATTTGCATTAAAACCATTTTCATTTTGCCACAGATGTAAAAAGTGTCATGTCATTATGCAAATTGTATTTTATTTTAAAAGCTGGGCTCTTTTTACATATGTTGGTCAATTTTTCCCATATGTATGTAAATTAAAAATATATGATCACCTTGACTGGTATGTTTCGTGTGTATCGTAGTACTCCCCTTACTCGCTTGTTTAGATGTGCCTCTTTTTGTGCTTGGAGCTCTTAACGTAGATTGGTTTTACTAAGCGACTCGAAATTCCGTTATCTGTAATGATGACTGTCTTGAGAATTATTGTCTCCGGTGTAATATGACGGTTGTTTATCTCCCAGTATTGGCTAGGAGCGACTTTTTGACTAAGCTTTTAGACCACGCCAAGTTTGCTGGCCTTTGGGTCAAGTCAGTAACCCAAATATCTTCTCTATGTCGAAAATATGTATTCTACCATACTATTATATCTTCCTTCGTCTTCAGGGCAGTCTCAGGCCGCTACAAGAGCTTTAGATATGTTTTCCAATCTGCTTAATTAAACTGATCTTAATTGGTTTTGCAAGCTAATATACTCAGATCGTTGGTCAATTTTATTTTGATTAGCTATACATTTTCCTCTACTTAGCTGACAACTTTTCTCCTTTCCGTCAGCTCTTTAATTACTCTTCTAACTTGGAGTTTTCTCCAAATGAGCACTTCATAGCGTCTTGCATCTTCACTGAACTTGTAATAAGCCCAAGCAGTACAGAGGACTAAACGACTAAGTATAGCGCCCCTAGACTTCTCTAAAGACGAAGGAAGACACTTCTACTCGAGCGTAACAGAAGGGATAGGTAGGTCAATGGTATCGCCTGAAGGTAAGATGGCGGAGCCTTAAGTGGTCCGTTACCATAGCCAAGACTTAAACAGACAATTTGTTTAATATATAAGTACAATGAAGCAAATATATTAATAACTCATAAGAGGACGAAATGCTGTCGACATGGCCTACGTTTCATGTTGTAGGGCGGACTGACTCACCCGCTTAACTGCTAACGCAGTTAAACAAAACATCAAACAACCACACTGTTTTTTATTGCAGTCTCCTAGTAGTATAACGAAGCAGAAACCGAGTTGCATAAACCGTTTTCATTAATTTTAAACCCTTTTGTTCAAAAAAGAGCTATTTGTGGGTGAATAAATGAACTAGTTGGAAATGGAATTATATGAGTCCTACAAGATCCATGGGAGATCAGAATCCATATTCTCTTCATGAGAGTACAGGACTTGTCTAAATGACCGGGCTCGTTAAACTAGGCGGCTTGATATCCATACGGTGCAGTGAAACAAATACTTGCTAAAATGCCTATGTAAGAAATATGGCAAAGAACCTTTCCCAACCTTTTTTTTACTTTCTAAAACATTGCTAATTTATCGAGCTCTAAATCCCACAAACATTATCTCGATTCTCTGTACTCCTTTGAAGTTCAACAATCCGATGTGAACAACCGCCGTCTTCCTACCTCCGCGTTAACCTTCAGTACCATTCAACTGCCTCCATCAGCGACTTGAACCATTAAGTTTTACTACCTTGTTGTAAGTAAATGATAATAAAAAGGCATCCAAACTTTAAGTTTTAAGAGCATGAGCGAACTTCTTAAACAACTCGTTCGTAAAGCATTGTAATGGCCTTCAGATTAGGGGTTTTTTTTCTCGGTGAATGAGATGAATGGGATTGGATATTTGCATAATTAACTTCTCATCCCAGGAGAAACCAGTTGAGGATGCAGATCAGATTTCACAATCCAATCTTTTCTACAATATCTAGTACCGCTTCTTCAAAAGTTGGAATATTCTTTGGCAAATCAAAGTATACGCATTATAATACAATGCTTTTTTATTATAAATTTTTATTATAATAAATACCAATGAACCGCCTTTTACGCTAATTACTCTGGTTGATGAATTCTCTAGATTGTTGAAAAAAATTAAACATTTATTAACAGTTTGAAATTTTCTTGCATTCAGCTCGCATTTCGCTTGAGTGAGTAGCTCCTAATCGGAGACAGCGTTAGTGTAGCGGTCTGATTGCGGCAGAACGGCCACATTCATAATACTTTACTCCTCACCCTTTGTGTGCTTAAACAAAGCGTCCGTGTGCCATTCAGCGCGGTCAGTTGTCTTTTTGTGAGTGACTCCTGTCCTCGAGGCCAATTACCCATTCAAATCTGCATAGAAGCTGACCTGGTTTATAATTGTGTCGACGCCAGCTAGTAACAGGACATTTATTTTGTCACATTCTTCTTTTCTTATTTTGAATGCAAATCCATCCTGATCATTTCATTTCTTACAATGCTTGTTCTCCTCACCTAGACTGTTATGTTACGAGATACTGTGTTTTAAATTAAGTAAAGGATCTAATTCCTTTTTTGAATTGGAGAGGTTCCATGCTATGGAGCGATTACGTTCTGGTTACCTATTTCTGTTTCAAATCTTATTCTTTTAACCAGTCTATTCAAATGATAAACCCGATTTTGTCGATTGGTGGGTGATATACATTGGAATTTCTTTGTCAATTTCATGATTTAACCTCGGGTCAAATGTCTAGACATGCAACTAGGCATTGAAGTTTGGCGCTAAGGCATGCCTCAAAGGCACACAATTGAATCCAAGCCGTTTTCCCAACAAAAAGGCTTGCTAATGTTGGCCACGTTACGAACTTTACACATGCCACATCAGAACACTTTGGGGTGCCCTAAACGAAAAACCACCCAACAGAGTAATTCACTGTGCACCGCACCGTCTCCCGTAAATATCCAAAGCAAGTAAAAAAGTAGTAATTTTTATTAACCCTATTGTCCAAAAGGCGCTTTTGTACTACCATCCGTTAATTGCATCACATTACTGAGGATGACCTTGTAAAGAAACTGAGGCTGGCTATTGACCCGTGAGACGTGTGCGTGATTTCGCTGTCAAGTCTTAGACGCAGACACTCATTCAACCTTGACAATGTTTGGTAAATTTTAATGAAGATTTGTATTTCTATTGTACCTTTCCATTACAAAAGCTTTCTAGTTAAATAAACGTCTATACGTGAAAAGCCTCGGCTCTAGCCAGTATATGGCATGGTTAAGAAGGTAGGACAATTTTTCGTATGATATTCTTTAATACTAGGCAAATTCAGTTTATTGCTAACTGGAACGGATCCCTTCTTCCTGTCGCCAAACCCGAGAGTGCTGTTGTCGTGACAACTGAATAGACATGGCAAAACCACCAGTTTAAGTGTTGGTGCAGCTGCAGTCTTGGCAACTACCTGTCGAATGGACGTTCATGCTTCTATTGTTCTCATTAACAGTAGTATCCGCAATATCTCCCAGGTGGAAATCCA